ACTATCTAGGTCTCAGGAGCTCAATATTTCCTTTCCATGCATTACACAGCCACTCAAATAATTATGATAGCTGTAAAGGAATGGTAACAATATTAGGGGCCAGTGAAAAGACCCACCACAGCAAGAAAGATGTAAAATGGAATTCTGATACAGGCTTTGCACTGTCTTTGTGAGCTTCAATTCTATCAATTGATTTAGCCTTAGTATACTTCCACCCTTGACAAAATTTATCAAATCATCGTGAGATATTATGCTTTAAATGTTTGATTCTGATGCTTTTGTAGAATGACAAACCATCACTGCTTCTGTACGTGGTGGTGCAAATTCAGCTGCAGCATACTTAATGAAATGTGCGAAATACATCCTTTACAAATGTAGCTTTTTTGAGCTCAGTTCGAACAGTTAACCGGCACAGCCCAAACTCTCACCAGTGAGTGCAACAAATTTTTCCATCTCGGTACCGGAGAAAGAAAGGCCATTTTCTGAAGTGAGATTCCCTATCCACTCGTCGGGTAATTGAACTTCCCTTAAAGCTGGGAAACAGTGGTAGAGCTGGCGTTCGAGGTTCTTGCAACAGTCTCTTCTTTGCTGCTGTTTTTTTGTTCTCTAGCAATTTTTCTCTTTTCGTGTAGATTAATTCCGGATCTCGATCGACTATCGCGTCTTTTGAACCAGATTTTATATATTCATCGACCCCGGAGAAAAATCAGTTTTCGTATATCGAAAGCACACTATTCTTCACTCGCTCAACAGAAGAAGTTAAGAAGTACTGCTAATTATGTGGCAATTGCTCGGTACATTTAAACTTACCGTTTTAACAGCTGAGCCTTTGTTTTCAGCCCTTTGCACTTGTCTCCCCGGCATTTTAAGCAAAACCTCAGGCCATCGTTGTGGAGCTCTGCTGAGTTTCTTCCCTCTAAAGACGCAACGGCAATGTCTTCTTCACTCAAATTAACTGAAAAACTCACCGCCATTTCACAACGGAACATTCGACAAGATATCCAAACTACGTAAGATCAATCCGTCCCTCTCAAAGCGATCGGCAATCCACAACCTTTCAAACAAAACTTACAGCCTTATTAGATCGACCAATGCCTCCCTAGCTTCGTTTTCGTGAACTTGGTTCAGGTCTAAACCGCGCGTTCGCCATTTATGAATAAGGCGTATTTGAAGAATAATTTTGCGAAGATCATCATTACGTGTTTCAGGATTTCGTTTGTCATGGCCACTGAAATGCGACACTGTCTTCCGACATTCATCTTGCTACTGGTTCGATCTTCCACCTGTTTTGGAGATGGCGGCCTGGAGCTCGCGCTTCGTACTAGCCACGAAACGCTGCAGTGTTAAAGCGTAGTCGGCCAAGAACTTCAGACACTGCTATTTGTGCTTCTCGGAAAGTTTGAAGACCATAATTCTGGGCTCGCCTACTTGGAGTTGCCATTTTCTCACACCTTGCATAAAAGCTTGAAATAAATCTGTTGGATTTGCCTCGTGGCCTTTCGGTGGTAGCATCACAACTTTAATCTTGGATTCTCGAATGTATCACAGGATTATAGTGCTGTTAGGATGGATTATTGCACCTTCCTGCTCGGCCAAGACGATCCCAGATAAAAAAGCTGTGTGGTGGAAGGTTAGGTGCATATGCTAGAGGAGGAATATTGTTGAGAACAAAGTGCTTGACTTCGGCATCGTTGGCGTTGTTTTCTGAGAGCCAAACTTTGAGATAAACTCTTGGTCCTTTCGCTGAATGAAGAGTAAACGTCTCTGAACGATAGGGAACTCTTCCATAAAGAATATACCTTTTCTGCATCTGCCTATCCGTTGTAAGACACCGACAAAAATAGGACTTTTATCTGCGAAGTAAAGTTCTTGTGGACAACACAGGTTTTGATCAATTGCTTGTGCATTCCTTCTAGATATCCCATCTGCATATCAGTGACTCGATCCAAGTTGACTTCTCGGCAAGATTTATTTGGAGTTTTATAGCTAGACCTGTCTTCGGCTCTAGAAACTGGCTCTACTGTACAATTGTCGACGAACAGTTCTTGAACTGGTGTCGATACTAGATTTGTTCAGGAATCTACACCCTAAAACCTTCGCCCCTATGAACTTCTTTCTATCGCAACTTCTTCACTGTCTAATGATTTTTACACGTTTCAAAGAAAAATATTAAGAATTGTGGCTATGCGGAGTAGCCTCAAGTGATTTCAAAGCACGCACAAGGTGCGTCTAAGGTACACCTAAAACACAGATTAGAAATAAGTTATGTTTCCTATATTTTTCCTAACAAAACAGCAGATCTGATATTGGTGGAACGCTCGGAAGCCTAGACTTACGGTAAAACTACCTTATAGCGGCTGGTTCTCTTCCATCGAAAAAGTTTATATTTTCATTTCTCAAGAAATACCAGGCATGTGCAGCATTCTAGCATTCTCTATCGACTTTCTTCAATCACCTCCCAGGTTGTTAATATATACAAGGGAAAACAATAAAGGAGTGCACAGTTTCAAATTTGCTCTATGAAAAAGATAGTAAGAATCCAAAATTATTTCAATCCCCATTTATGGCTAGAGGAATGCCTATTTGTTTAATGTTTGGCAGATGCTAATTTTAAAACAACGGTAAGCTAATTTATTTAAATCTAAATAATTTCTGTTATTTTGTTTCTTTAATAGTGCTGATAGTGCATGCAAACATACAGCTGCTGCTCTGCTCGATTTGGAAGCAACTATTAGGAGAAATGAGCTGGAGATTTACACATCAGTGTCTTGCCTTTGGGTGAAACGGAAAAGAATTACAGAAAATGCTGTGCTAATGGAAGATGTAAAATTTCAAAAATCAGAGGATGGGAAAATACCAAAGGATTTTCAAACACCTCACGATTAAAGCCCTCTGTGCTCTGTGTCCTCTCACCCAATAATTCCATGAGAAGTTTTACGATAATTTGTGAGAAGCTGTCACTTCATGTGTAGCTTTGCTGTTTGACAAAGTCCCCAATCCAGTCAAAGAACTCTGGGAATGTGGAAGCGGTCCTGGCAGTGATGAACACTACTTAAGCAGTGATGAAAATAAGGCCTAAGAAAAAATTCAGGCATGTAAAAGATTTGAACCCATGACCTCTGCGATACCGGTGAGACGCCTTACCAAATGAGCTAACAAGCCAACTGGGAGCTGATAATTAAGTTGGTTCCAAATAAACCCGTGAGGTGGTGAAGAAATGACTGTAAATATATGATTTTCATATATTTACGTTCATTTATTCACCACTTAGTAAGTAAGTAAGTAAGTAAGTAAGTAAAGACTTTATTTAAAGAGGGTAGCTCTAAAATAGTATAAAAATACTAACAAACCAGTGGCTCTCTAAAATTATGTACAATACGGATGTTAAAAACTATGGCATAACTATGAAATAATATAACGAATAAAAATACAAGAGATAAGAGATAAAATCAATAAAAAGTACAAAAGTATAACTAAATCACAGAATAAAATGATTTAAAAGCTGCTGTTCTTCAAAAATTTTTTTCCAAAGAGAGTTCTTAAAAGAATTAAGCGACGCCATTGTCCGCATAGATAGCGGTAAGCTGTTCCAGGCTTGACAGGCAGTCACATTAAATGTTCTTCCTCCTTCAATTTCACGTTTGATAACAGGGCGAGCAATATTGAAGTTGGCATACCTAGTCTGCCGTGAATGAGTGTCGCTAGTAAGCTCAAGTAAACTTTTAAGATAGGTTGGTACATACCCCTGTAAACGCTTGTATATAATACAGCATTTACGGTTCGTTTAGCCTGTTCGAAAAATGGTGTCCAGTTTAGTTTATTGAACAGTTTGACGGAGGAGGCTTGACAATCGGCGTCTAGAATAACTCTAGCAGCCCTCTTCTGCAACTTTAGAACACGGTTAAGGCAATGTTTATCACAGCTCGTCCAAACCACATTTACATAATCAATTACCGGTCTTAACATGGTGTTATAGAAAATAAGTCGATGTTTTAGAGGTAGACAATATTTAATTCTCTTTAAAATGCCCATCCGTTGCGAGAGCTTTTTACTCAATTTCTCCACATGAGGGATTAATGTTAGTGCGTGGTCGATTTCTAGTCCCAAAAGCTTTGCACAACGAACATTCTCAAGTTGTTTTCCATTAACAACTACAGCAATGTCAGGGTTAATTCTGGTAGAAAGTCGCTTGTCAGTAATGGTAAGCACTTTTGTAGCGCCATGACGAACACAAGCAGTAGGGGATTCTATGTTACCCATAGATACCAACTGGCGCCTTTCATTCAGATATGATCGAAACCAGATTAACGATTTGTTGTCAAACCCATATGCTTGAAGTTTTTGCAATAGAATCGAGTGATCAACCATGTCGAAAGCCTTGCAATAATCAATTAAAATCATACCACTCACGCGATCACTGTCAAGGTTGAACAGCAGTTCGTCGATAATTCCAATAAGAGCAGTTTCAGTACTGTGACGTTTGCGAAAGCCAGACTGCTTAGAATAAATTAAATTATTGACACACAAATAACTATAAAGTGAGTCGTGTACATGCCCCTCGATTACCTTGGTAAGTACTGGCAACACTGATATCGGACGATAGTTTACGTTTTCTGGATCCCCACCTTTAAATAACGGAGTGACTCAGTTTGCAGTCTTCCAGCGCTGAGGAAAAACTGATGTGATGAAGGAATAATGAATTAGTTTAGCAATGGACGAAGCAATAATAGGAGCTGCTAATTTCAGCATTCGCGCACTGATATTATAAATACCACTGGCCTTGTTTGAGCTAATCTTCTTGAGACAATCGATGATCTTGCTCTCTGTAATAGGAGGAATGAAGAAAGTGATGCTAGCATCCTTTCTTTTGATGACAAAGTTTTGAAGTTTAGATATGTCAAAATTAAATTGAGGAAGTAGAGACCTAAGCTGATCCGCAATAGATGTAAAATGAAAATTAAACTCAGAAGCAATATTTTTATTGTCCTCTAAGAGACACCCACCAACTTTAAGGTTGTATACACGCTTAGACTGTTTGCTCAATCCAGAAATTGATTTGATTGTTTTCCACATTTCTTTGGCATTTTTTTTATTATTCTCAAGTTTTGAGACATAATACTTTCGTTTAGCATGCCGACTGCTTTATTCCTGGCCTGGCCTTCCTGGCTTAACGGGTTTTTTTGGAACCAACTTAATAACCAGCTCCCGGTTGGCTTGTTAGCTCAGTTGGTAGAGCGCTGGGTTCATGCGAGTGACAACATTGATACCGTTCTGACAGGTATGCACCTATCTAAATGTCCGCTACTAATTCTCTCGAGTTGATTAACTGCTTGGTCAACATCCGTGGCACGATAAACATCTCCCAAGTCTTCCTTTGTCAATGCCAAGTATAAAACGTGCTTTCTTTACTCTCTCTGATCTCGGATCTGAACTTTATGTCGGCTGGGACAAAGCTTTTTGCCAGCTTGTAAAATCACAACTCAGTGATCGGTTTTTGTCAGCATTTGGTAAGGATAGTATTTCCCGAAAAAGTCCTTGCGATTTGAGAGACAGTTATCTAAGCATGAAAGGCCTCTTGTCGGGAAATCCACCATCGCATTCCAGCCTGTCAATTTTTCTAACCGATCGATGTTCAGTTTATTCAAATCGCCGCCGCATACAACAACAGTTTGCGGATGTTCATCCAATTCATTATCAACAATGTTGGTTCTAGAGCTCATTAAATCTTCTTCCGCGTAATTGTGTCTAGGTGGGTAATACATTCCGCACACTAAAAAGCGGTGTCCCGATGGGAGACGCAAGTTTATGCAGATGACTTCATACAAGGTTGAGCCGGCGATAAACATTAACTACCGTGAGGTTGTTTGGTATATAAATTGCAACACCACCGTTATTCCTCATATCCCTTCCAGACCAGTTTCTGTCTCTTCTAAAGATAGAAGAATTTGCAATGTTTACCATGGCATCTGGTTGTGCTGGTTTGAGGTGCGTTTCCATTACCACACACGCAGTCATATCATTCTGAAACATATCAGCCTCAAGCACGACTACGGCTCCAACTTTGTTCTTGATATTAGTCAGGCTCCATATGTTAATAAACATGCATCTGGGCACGGCAAAAACAGAATGATAGGCCGATGGCTTTGGCTAGCGGGGTATGGGTGTTAGACATCTCCGTGTAATCGGCTTCCTTAACTCACCTATTTCATGACAGCAACTTCAATTGCTTGACAATGCTCAATTGTCCATGAAGGCTGAGAGATGTGATGATAGTCTTTGACTGTTCTTTTGCCATTTTTACGTCCGCCTCTGTATTTAAGAATTCCTTACTTCTTCAGCGTATTACACACGTTAGACGGGGGTCTTGATGCAAATTTGCGAAAACAAAACAAAATGTTGCGGTCAATCGAGTGTCGATTTCCAACAACCGATAGGGAAGCTGGGTTATGTAGAAAGCCATTAGTTTCTTCGTTCTGTCGAACAACCTCCACCTTAGTTCCAGGGGAAGGGTGCACAACCATATAAACCGTTAAGTCAAATACGACAAACGTCTCCAGTAATGTCAAGTTAACTAAACCACGAGTGTTCCATCTCACCAAAGGTGAAACACCGTAACTTGATGACATTTGTGATTGATTGTAACTCCTGTAGGACATCTCGGTTCTGACAACTTGAAAGCGCACCACCTACTCATTGCAACATTCGTACATGCGCAGAAGTTTGACCGCTTTATTTTGTAAGACAGCAGTTCTTATGTTTTCCTTCGAAACTCTTTGCGGGAAATTGGTGCGCAGGCGGAAAAAAGTGATCCCCTTGCATATGCCTTACTTTTGACCACTGTGTTCGAGCTGGCACTTTGCCAAACAAGGAAAAAAGCTAATAATTCGCCGAATTTGTTCTCAGCAACAGCGCAAGTAGTAAATAGGGACCACATTATGCAATACGGTTTATTCTAATGAAGCCATTTAACATTCGTCATCGTCTAATCCCGACGGGACATTTCATCTAGTATGAATATTTACTACGTCTTCAGAGCCCACTATCGTTTTGAGTATCACGTGATTTGAGGTTGATGAACAATGCTGTATATTAATAGTGCATATACACAAATAAAAACAAGCACCCACCATCCTATTCACCTACAGACACTGTGTGTTGTGCCTAAAGAGGCGCCCAATTCAAATAGTCTTATTGTTATTTTTATCATTTCAACGTAAAAGGAAACAGAACACGCATTATGTGCGATGTTATCACATTTTAGAACAGGGAAAAAAATACGGACGGAAGGCGGAGCAATAAGGGGGCCGCATTAAATTATTCAAACTTCAATTTGGATCTTAAGTGAAGTAGATCTGTTATTATTTATCACTTAGGAGAATTTAATGGCTCACTGATCGTGTTTTTCGTCGCTTCCGACGGGGCTCGGGAAATACTACTTAACTCGCAAACACATGCGCTCATTTTGTATTGTACCATTCTACCATTCTGTATTCTGGTAAATTCAGCTTCCTTTCCTTAATTATTAACCTCGCGGCCCGGTCAGAGTCCGTTTCCATTTTTCCTCACTATCTCCACAGAGATCAACCACTGACCATAAAGTCCAAGGAGCTCCACGAATATCCACCAAAGAGATCTTATCCTGAAATTTTTATCTCGCTAACTCTTCACTAGCAATAATTCGTTTTGGAAAGGAAGGGATGTTTTGTGTGACTCTTTCATCATTCATTGTGCTTCGCCAAGTCTCAGTTAAATTTTCTCGTTAGATTGAGTTATTTTATGTTAGATTATAGGCAATCCGCCAACTCTTCATGTGCTCCTGTAGTGCGCCGATCAAGTCCATTGAATTGTTCGACGCATCAGTAGGTATATTCTTAATCTATTTTTTTCGTCTTGAACAGAACCCAGTAAGTTTTTAAATAACTTCTACAGATTGAATTACTTCGATATAATTGTTTTATTTTCATAAGTAGCTCGTGATCCCGCTCATCGTAAACTTCAAAACTGAGAACACCAATTTTATGAATTTCTTCAGTATAGTTACTAGATAGAAAAACTCACTTACAATCAAATTTCAAAAAATCTTTCATCAAAAATCTTGATTCCTGGGATTTGCTTTGGAGTATAAATACTGACATTCATCCGCCCAACTTCCATCATTGGTGGCTCAGGTATCAAAATCTTCCAGTAAGGTAACTCCCGGAGCTTTCCAGTTCTTTCAATAGAGGGAGTCTTGCACATGGAACTTCTTGATCTTGCTATGTTTAGCCCTGAGGAAGAATGAGGTTTCCTACCCCTTTTATTGAAACAGTTAGCTTCGAAACTGCCCTCGTCTCCATCATTATAGTCAGCCATGGGACTGCGAAACGCAGGTGAGATCCTTCCTCGCAGTGAGGTCTGAAAAACATCCATTTTTCCGTCTTCGTCTGAATGTTCACCTTTCGAGCATAATTCGTTATTTTTTGATTCCATCAAGAACCTTGTAATACTTGATCTTCGAGAACTACAGATCGACGAAATTGGTGACCTCGCACATAGTCGAACTTCTAAGGGCAAACTGCTGCTCTGGCTCTCGCTTTGGATGAAATCAGCAGCGTAGTTAGAGTCGTGTGATCTTGATTTTTCGTTAGAGCAACTATTTGGACGTGTTTTGAGACCTTGAAGGTGGTGGGTTAAAGAGACAGGTGAAGGTCTTCTGCGTTGCAGTGGGTCACATTCCTTGTAGACGGAGAATGGGGTTTTGAGGTCTCTTTCGGTTTCTTGCGGGACGCACAAAACATATGGCGAAACACAAATGTCTGGGAAACTTCGGATGTGTTCGTCGATAACAAACTGTTGCATCTGAGACTTGGTACATTCAGTGCACAGGTCAGGACCAAGAACATCACAGAACTGTTTCGAATACTCATCCTTGCTTACGTGTACCAATCGATCACAGTATTGTACTCTACGGGCAAAGCTGATTAAAGTTCCACTTTTCAAGCGCGTGCCATGAAGAGGTGCTGCGACACCCATTTTCCTTCCTAAAATACTCGGGGTCGATGGCGGGCTCTCGTAATGACATGATCTCTCGCTGTCAATCCAATTCTGTTGTTTTACCTCCCGTAATAAACGTTCTCTGGTAGATTTTTCAAGGTCAGTTTCTCCAACGAAAACGTATTTATAATCTAAGTTTTCTTCCTCTCTCTGTAATAATCGAGCATCAAGCGCCTCTGTGTGTACTGACTTTTTGCGAATTCGCGGTGGTTTTTCCACGGCTGAGCGAATCTTACTCCGGGGCAAAGCAGCGTTTTCGTAATTGCCGAAGAGGCTGGTTTGTGTAAATTTGTCTTTAGAGGTGAGACCCCCGAATTTAGAAAAGACTTCAAACTCCTGGAGTTTCTTTCCTTCTTTCGACTTGTTTTGTTTTCTTATGACGGTTTTGTTCATCTGTGAAGAAGAGCTTGTGATACCATGTGGTGGAGAAAACTTCGTTCCTTTACCCACAGCCATACACGCACTTCTTAGCTATTCGTCACTACAAACTAAACTTTTGTAGTAAACAGACGGTTCATATGAAAATTAGATCGTTATTGCTGATCACTTATTCCAGATCAAATATTGACTTGCCCACACAACTGTACATACGCTTTACAAAGCTATTCAAGTATTATTCTAATGTTATTCAGAAATATCTTGCTGGCCAAGCGCAAAAGGAGAAAGAAGTCAAAGAAGCCGAAAACAAAAGCCTAACACACTAATAACAGAGGAACCACTATTATTTTAATTTACTTGCAACCTTTGAAAGCTTCTTTTGTAATCAGTCTAAAGCTATTTAATGTAACTAGTAATCCCAAGGGTAGGGTCAAAATGAGAAAGAAACGTCCACTGTTTAAGTCTCCATGGTAACACTTCTTTGACGGTTTAGGGCTTGTTTGTAACAAAAAAGGGTCCGAATTTAATGTTATTAAATTTGACCGCTAATTAACGATTAATGGCTTTCTCGTCTAAATTAATTTTGTTCTTCGGCAAGGGGCTATAATCCCTCACGTCACGACTTTCAATATGTTGCTGAAGACTGTCTTCACAGAGGGTTCAAAAGGGATTTTGTTCTTTTTAACTTTATCTATGGACACTTGAAGACGAAGGCTTAAACAAACAAAACGAATTAACACTTCAGCCTTCTGTCAACATGCAAATTGTTATACTCAATACTAGGTTGGGACACATTTGTTCTTCGTAGTCCGGCGATGTAAGTTTTACGGCAACGGAACAAGTTATCCTTATCAATGTTCCATTCCCATGTAACCTCAATTACTTTCTCTGTAAAATTTGGTAAAGAAATTAGGTTCGAATGTGCCAGCGGGCAAGTGAAAACCAAGTTAATTATCAACGTTTACTATAGCGCCTCGTTATAATATGTAAGTGCCTCGTTTTGGTGGAACGTTGACGGTAAGCGCCCCCACGTCAGTACAATTAAGACAAAGTTTGAGGTTGGTTCGGATCTATTTACAAGTTGCCCACGTAGATCTCTCAGACCCTAACTTGAACACAAACAAATTACATTTTGTGCAACTTGTGGAGATCAGAGAGGTATCAATCAATATCAAGTGTTAAATCAAACTGAACTGATGCAAAAATACCCCACGCTCTAAGGACTTGCAGTTATATCCGCTTGTGAACTTGTGAATAGCTTTAGAGACCGTCAAAGAAAGGAAGCGTTCAACCATTTAATTTGAGAACTGTGAGATTACGAACGTTTTGAAAAAATTGAAAGGTAACGCACTAGGAATAGCGTCAGACGTTTGACTACAACAACTTCACTCTAAGCATTTCACTTATAAAGACTATTCTGTTTTTGTCACTATCAACACGAAAAAGGTTCATTTGATTTTTAATTACATTCTATCTTCCAGCAGTAAGTTGTCAAGAAAATATTTTGTTTTTACAAGGAAGGGAAATCGTTGTTTTGACTCTTGCAACAAATTTTAAGATTTTGACCGTTGTTAGCTAACCGTTCCCTTTCTAACGCTGGTTTCCTAAAATTGTTCGTCACAAAGTATAAGCAAACAAGATCACTCCTTCTTTATCTCAGACAAATTGTAGTGGAACACATCTGTCTAATACTAGTTACTTCAGCTACAGACATTGTTTAATTAGTTAAAATATGTAAATTCATGAACAAAAAGCTGAAAGAATACCCCCATGTTACACTGTTTGAATTTCGTGGTATTCCGCGAAATGTTTACAATTTACTACTCGTAATAACTTGCGGTATTCCCTTCAAAAATTTCAAATTCCCATGTTCTTCCCCCAAAATAAACATTGCACTTTCTCTTCGTCAGAAAATTCTAAAATGCTATTCCAGACCTTAGCACAGACAAACGGATTCACTGCAGAAATAGCGAGGACCAAAATAAGAAGACGATCTCTGACCTAGTATACAAGGGCACAATTGAGGATACAGTACGACGAGAGCCAACATAATGATAACAGGCAAAGTTAACTTCGTGTCCCATCCCTTTGAAGCATTTTACCAGTTACTGCTCTATGTCAATTATCCATCGTCATGTTGTCGAATGCTAAAGTTATTTGGCTTTCTCGTCGAGAACGCTTTCTGTCCCTCAAAAGTCTTACGAACGCTTTCCTGAAATTTTCAAATCGCCAGGCATACACAAACGGGTTCACTCCTGAATTGGCTAAGATCAGTAGGAGAGGAATATCTCTTGCCCAGTGAATAAGTGTGCAACTGCAAACTTTGCATAAGTTAATAATGTAAATGCAAATACAGGAAGGCAGATAGCATGCTAAGAAGAGAGCCAATATGATAATAAAAGTTTCGGTTACTTTCTGTTCCCATCTTGCTGCCTGTCTCTTCGCCTGATTGTCTACGTTCGTCTGATCCAAAGAATTCAGTTGTTCCATTTGATCTTTTAATGCACGGAGGATCTTGTAATAAGTAAGAATGATGACTAAGAGAGTGCCAATTACGACTGTGTGGAGGAAGACGAATGAATATGTGAGGTAGCCCGTGACAAGGTATATGAAAGGGAAACTTAGTGAAAATAACCAGATGCTAGCCGCCACAAAACCTGCTCGCTTTGGATTCAGCTGTGTTCTGTAGAACAGCGGAGAAGCTATCGCCAAATATCGATCCAGTGTTAAAGCTGCCAAACTGAGAACAGAAGCTGTACACGAAATGAAGTACGGTATGTGAAAGTAGGGTAAAGGTGGCAGTTTCCTCTCAACTCCTTCCATTACATGGTACACCACCGCAGTCGGGTCGACGACGAATCCCACCAAAAGATCGCTAATGGCAAGGTTGGCCACAAAGTAGTTAAAAGGTGATTTGAGATCTTTGTTTGGATCGATGAAAATTGCTAACACGACGAGTAAATTTCCGGCGATGGTAAATAGACACAGCGGAACACATATCGTGGCCGTAGTAAACGAGGTGTAGATTGGAGCAACTGATTGATTAGTGCACGGATATTCACCGAACAGAGACATGAAGCTCAATCAAATTTTCAGCGCTACTAAAAGTAAATTACAATCAGACGATGGGATTGAATGGAAGATACGAAGCTCGAATTAGTAATACGTAAAAACAGTTCCTCCTAAGTCCGCCAATATTTTGTGATATTGGCGTCTCAAAATCGCACAGTCTGTACTTTACTTTCAATTCGAGCCCACTGGATTTTACTTCTTGCTTAGACTATGAGTCGGAGACAATGTTTTTAATTTTGATAATGATGTTTCATGATACGGTCTATAAGCCCCAACTTTATCAAACATCTTCAAAGAATAAAAACACTTTGATAGGGAACTAAAACACTCGTAGAATCAATACAATCACTACATCCGGGAACAGAGTGACACTTTTTTCGTATAAAACACGAATGGGCATATTAAGCGATGACGACACGATTTCCGCCTTTTCAAACTTTGCTGAATGAACGTGGTTTGTTCGTTGTTTGGAATAATGGCCACCGCAAAGATTTTGTGGTAAACGACAACGATGAATTTATTGTCCGTATACAAAAAAGAAAATTACACGTTAGCTCGAAGATATGAATTTTATGTTCGTAGCAAGAGCGATACTTGGGCTCACTCGTGAGATATTGTCCTTACCACTTTAAAATTGATATTTTGTCGCCGCCGCATAATATCCTCTAAGTTTGGCTTTCTCATCGAAGTTTTCTAGAAAGAAGTTTTTCATCCGATACATGATCACATGGTTGACACGAACTTATATCCGACTGCGCAATCGGCTGACAGGGAGAACCACAACACTAAAACTGCTCTCCTGAAAGTTAACAACGACATCTTTGTGCTACAATTAATACTGTCGACTACAGTATTTTGCTGAAGGCACTCAACAAGGTGCGACTTGGGGACAGGGTATTTAAGTGGTTGCGATCGTATTTATCAGGGCTTACTCAGCGGATATCAGCTCGTGGGTGTCAGCCTGAGGAGTTTCAATTAAAATGCGGAGTTCCTCAAGGCTCCTTTCTTGAGATAATTCATTTGTTCGATCTCGCCACTAGATGTTGTTCAAGATTATATTCCATCTGTCCACTGCTACACAGACGACACCCACCTTTCATTCTCCTTCAGCCCCGCATATGACACGGGTCACTTGGATACCATCGCTGCATGTTATCGAGCGTTGTATTAAGGCGATCAGGTGTTGGATGGGTGACAATGAACTACTGTTGGATGAGGCTAAAACTGAGTTACTTTTTAATGGCACGAAGCTGCACCTCTCCATACTAAATATTGGCCACGTCTAAGTTGGTAATGTAAATGTAACTCCGTACTCTCCTGTTAAAAAATCTTGAAGTCTGGCTTGACCCAAACCTTTCTATGATTGATCATATCACTACTAGAGGACTAGTTCTGCAGCGTTTTGTCCTCTTTACAATTTTAGAAGAATTAGAAAGTACTTGTGCAGAGACATTTACACATGTTTTATTTCAAGCTGCCTGGACTATTGTAACAGTCTCTTGTTTGTAGCTTGCGAATGTCATCTACATGAGTTACAGATAGTCCAGAATACCCAGAGCTGTGTGCCTAATATTCCAGGAGAACATATTTTGTCACATCGCACCTCTGCTGAAGTCATTACACTGGCTGCCTGTATGATGTCGTATTGCTTTTAAAATTCTCTTAATTACCTAGTCTTGCCCTTGCTTGTATAAGCGACCTTATTTCTGTTAGAGACACCGGAAGACATAATTTACGCTCAAATGATGGTCTATGCCTTCCTCCTTGTAAGCGTAAATCACTCGTTACACTTGGCGATTATTCTTTTTACGCAGCCTACTTTGTGGAATCATCTTCCGTTTTCCATCACAAACATTGCGTCCGTAAATAGGTTTAAGAAAGTTATTAAAACATTTTTATTCGCGAAAGATAGTGCGGCATGTGTTGCAATTTTATGGGAGCCCGGATGAAGTCTGGCAGTCCGTAGTAGAAGTTGTTTCGGTCGTGGAAAGGGCGCAAGAGACTAGATCAAAGTCACCAAATTGTTAAACCAGAAGCTTATGGGTTATATGCTTATATTCTGGTTAACCCTACTTCCAGAAGTTGAGTTGGAAGAACAAAATTTAATATTGCACGAACAACTGCATAATTACTTACTAGACCACGACATGAGCATCTCAAACATCACCATTGCACTGGTAAGCACGACCAAGAAGCGTATAAGACAACATGATTTTCAATGCCGACACATAGTGCTGTGATTGACGGTGAAATAGGGATATTCAACATGAATTTGAAACAGGCTGGTTAAGGCAGCGTTGACTCGCAGCTTAAGTCAAGTTCGGTGTGACCGATGCAAGCAATAGCAAATAAAAAAGCAACAGAAAAAGCGATAGAACAGCTACGCATAGGACAGCCCTAGAAGGCATTTTTAATAGGTGGTTGGGCATCAATCATCAAGCAAAGTAGACTATAAGGGAACCTCTATCCTTATCGTATGTTGTTGCCAACCACACGAGGAAGTTATTGTATACCCTGTCCCCCATCTTATGTCTATTGTCGTTTGTTTCTTTATAAACACTTTTTCTCAGTTTTCTTGGGTAAGTTAGTGCCATGGTTGTTCTAATAACATTTGTGATTGGCGGATTTAGTTGAGTGTATTTGGTGTCAGAAGTGAAGTACTTAGAACTGAGTGAATTTCATACCCCTCAAAAACTTCCACCCGTTGCCACACAATGTTATCCATAATACCCACTCTGAAGAAAATATCAGTGGACAATATTGCATTTCTTAAAAAGCGATTTTTACTTAAAAAAATATACAAAGACCTTCCCCTCATCTCATTTAGGGGAGGAAAGCCTTAATAGGAGTACTCCTTCAGTCTAAACTATGCTAGGTGTCCAAGTCCAACAAAATCGCCAGGGTCGGCGTCGTGATAGGTTTGTCAACACTTTTTACCAACACAAATTGTTGAAAGTCTTAATCCCTGTTCAAGGAATTATTGTGTATTGGCAGTCAACAATTTTAAAATATATACAAATTGTATTCGTTCGCCACTTTGTTAACTTGAGGTCTTGATGAGTTTTTAGGCTCGGGATTTCCCAGCCAAAGAAGAAGACGTTCTTGATAAAAATAATTGTATCTTCAGACTTCGCCGTATTTTTTGGCAGGTTTTCTCTTTGCTGCTCTAAATAACTTGAAGTATTCCCTTTAAGGGTGTCAAATTCTAATGTTCTTTCCCTCAAATAACCATAACACTTTCTGTACGTCTCATAATTTTAAAAATGCCTTGCGGAACTTGAGCACGAACAAACGGATTCGCTCCTGAAATGGCGAGGATCAAAATAAAATTAAAATCTCTGACCCACTGAAGTGAATAGAGGTATAACTGGAGATACAGCAAGAATAGAGCCAATATTGTGATAGCAGCCTTAGTTACTTTCTGTTCCCTGCATGGCTATGTTGTCAAATGTTAAAGTTCTTTGTCTTTGTTTTCTACAGTACTCTCTGTTCCCCAGAAGTTTTGCGAACGCTTTCCTGAAATTTTCAAACCGCCAGGCATACACAAAAGGGTTCACTCCTGAATTAGCCGTGATCAAAAGAGCAGGAATATCTCTTGCCCAGTGTATAAGAGTGCAACTGCACGCTTTGCATAAGTTAACAATGTAAATGCAGATACAGGCAGGAAGATAGCATGCTAAGAAGAAAGCCAGTATGATAATAAAGGTTTCGGTTACTTTCTGTTCCCATCTTGCTGCCTGTCTCTTCGCCTGATTGTCTACGTTCGTCTGATCCAAAGAATTCCACTGTTCCATTTGACTTTTTAATACACGAAGGATCTTGTGATAAGTAAGAATGATGATTAAGAGAGTGCCAATCACGACTGTGTGGAGGAAGACAAATGAATATGTGAGGAAACCCGTGACAAGGTATATGAAAGGGAAACTTAGTGAGAATAACCAGATGCCAGCCGCCACAAAACCTGCTCGCTTAGGATTTAACTTTGTTCTGTAGGTTAGCGGAGACGTTATCGCCAAATATCGATCCAGTGTTAAAGCTGCCAAACTGAGAATAGAAGCTGTACACGAAATGAAGTACGGCACGTGAAGATAGGATGCTGGTGGTCTTTTTCTCGCAGTTCCTTCCATTACATGATACACTACCGAAGTCGGGTCGACGACGAATCCCACCAAAAGATCGCTAATGGCAAGGCTGGCCACAAAGTAGTTAAAAGGTGACTTGAGATCTTTGTTTGGATCGATGAAGATTGCTAACACGACGAGTACATTCCCAGCGACCGTAAACAGACATAAAGGAACAGTTACTGCGGCCGTCGTGAACGCAATGTGGATTGGAGCAACTGATTGATTAGTGCACGGATATTCACCGAACAGAGACATAAAGCTCAATCAAATTTTCAGCGCTACTAAAACTAAATTACAATCAGACGATGGGATAGAGTTGAAGATACGAAGCTCGAATTAGTGATACGTGAATATAGTTTCTCCTAAGGCTGCCAATATTTTGTGGTATTGGCGTCTCAAAATCGCACTGTCTGCACTTCACTTCCTACTCGAGCCCACTGGATTTTACTTCTTGCTTAGACTATGAGTCGGAGACAATGCTTTTAATTTTGATAATGATGTTTCATGATACGGTCTATAAGCCCCAACTTTATCAAACATCTTCAAAGAATGAAAACACCTTGATATCAGGACAGAACAGGGAACTAAAACACTCGTAGAATCAATACGATCACCACATCCGAGAACAGAGTGGCACTTTTTTCCGCCTTTTCGAACTTTGCTGAATGAACGTGGTTTGTTTGTTGTTTGGAATGATGGCCGCCGCAAGATTTTGTGGTAAACGACGAAGATGAATTTATTGTCCATTTACAAAAAAGAAAATTACACGTTAGCTCGAAAATATGAATTTTATGTTCTCGTGACAAGAACGATACCGGGGCTCACTCGTGAGATATTGTCCTTACCACTAAAAAAATTAATATTTTGTCGCCGCCGCATAAAATCTTCCAACTTTGGCTTTCTTATGGAAGTTTTCTGAGAAAGCAGTTTTTCATCCGATACATGATTACAGGGTTGACTCGAACTTATATCCGTTGCGCAATCGGCTTACAGAGAGAACCACAGCACTGAAACTGTACTCCCGAAAGTTAAAAACGACATCTTTGTGTTACTATTGATACTATCGACTACAGGATCTTGCTGAAGACACTCAACAGTCTACAACTTGGGGGGAAGGGTGTTTAAGTGTTTGCGATCATATTTATCAGGGCGTAATCAGCGGATATGAGTTTGTGGGCGTCAGCCTGGGAAGTTTAAATTGAAATGCGGAGTCCCTCAAGGCTCCTGTTTTGAGCCGCTTCATTTGTTCGATCTCGCTACTAGATGTTGTTCAAGGTTATATTCCATCCATCCACTGCTACACAGACGACACCCACCTTTAATGCCCTTCAGTCCCGCATTTGACACGGGTCACTTTGTTACCATTTCTGCATGTTATCGAGCGTCGGTTGTATTAAGGCGCTCAGGTGTTAGACGGGTGACAGTAAACTACTGTTGGTTGAGGCTAAAACTGACCTTTTTTTGATTGGCACGAAGCTGCACCTCTCCATACTAAATATTGGCCACGTTTAAGTTAGTTATATAAATGTAGCTCCGCACTCTCCTGTTAAAAAGTCTGGCTTTACCCAAACCTTTCTATGATTGGTCATATCACGACGAGAAGACTGGTTCTGAAGCGCTTCATCCTCTTTACAACTTTAGAAGAATTTGAAAGTACTTGGGCAGAGACACTTACACATCTTTTATTTCAAGCCGCCTGGACTATTGTACCAGTCTCTTGTTTGTAGCTTGCGAATGTCATCTACATGAGTTACAGAGAGTCCAGAATGCCCAGAGCTGCGTGCCTAATATTCCAGGAGAACATATTTTGTCACATCGCACCTCTGCTGAAGTCATTACACTGGCTGCCTGTATGATATCGTATTGCTTTAAAAATTCTCTTGATTACCTGGTCTTTCCCCTGCTTGTATAAACGACCTTATTTCTGTTAGAGACACCGGAAGACATAATTTACGCTCAAATGATGGTCTACGCCTTCCTCCTTGTAAGGGTAAATCACTCGTTACGCTTGGCGATCATTCCTTTTACGCAGCCGCTCATAACTTTGTGGAATCATCTTCCGTTTTCCATTACAAACATTGCGTCCGTAAATAGGTTTAAGAAAGTTATTAAAACATTTTTATTCGCGAAAGATAGTGCGGCATGTGTTGTAATTTTATGGGAGCCCGGATGAAGCCTGGTAGTCTGTAGTAGAGGTTGTTTCGGTTGTGGAGAGGGTGCAAGAGACTAGCTAGATCGAAGTCACCAAATTGTTAAACCAGAAGCTTATGGGTTATATGCTTATATTCTGGTTAACCCTACTTCCAGAAGTTGAGTTGGAAGAACAAAATTTAATATTCCACGAACAACTGCATGAATACTTACTAGACCACGACATAAGCATCTCAAACATCACCATTGCACTGGTAAGCACGACCAAGAAGCGTATAAGACAACATGATTTTCAATGCCGACATATAGTGCTGTGATTGACAGTGAAATAGGGATATTCGACATGAATTTGAAACAGGCTGGTTAACGCAGCGTTGACTCGCAGCTTGAGTCAAGTTCGGTGTGACTGATGCAAGCAATAACAAATAGAAAAGTAACAGAAAAAGCATTATAAAATAATTCAAATAGTACGCGCGCTCTGATTGGCCATAAAACCATTTTACATGAGCGTATATAAACACGGTTTTCATACAGAATCTTCTCGCGGAGTTCTCCCTGCTATTTATTTAGCTCAGTTTCTTTAAGTTTGTTTTGAGTACAGTAATGGAAGAAGAAGATTTTCCTAATTTTTCTTTGGAGTTTAATTTTCCCAGTATTCAAGAAACGGTCGAAAAGCCAAATGAACAATAACAACAAGCACGTCGCTTTCCTTCGTTGCAAGAAGAGGCTCTTTCATTAGTTATTTTACAAAAGAAATGTAAAATGGTTTCCGTGTTTACATAGCCTGATGTAAACACGGAAACCATTTTACATTTCTTCAATAGAACAGCTACGTGTAGGACAACCCTAGAAGGCATTTTTAATAGGTGGTTGGGCATCAATCATCAAGCAAAGTAGAGTATAAGGGAACCTCTATCCTTATCGTATGTTGTTGCCAAGCACACGAGGAAGTTATTTTATACCCTGTCCTCCTTCTTATGTCTATTGTCGTTTGTTTCTTTTGTCACTTTTTCTCAGTTTTCTAGGGTAAGTTAGTGCCATGGTTTTTCTAATAACATTTGTGATTGGCGGATTTGGTTGAGTGTATTTGGTGTCAGAACTGAGTGAATTTCATACCTCTCAAAAACTTCCACCCGTTGCCACGCAATGTTACTCATAAGACCCAATGTGAAGAAACTATTAGTGGACATGTATAGCATTTCTTAGAAAGCGATTTTTCCTTAAAAAAAATATACAAAGACCTTCCCCTCATCTCATTTAGGGGAGGAAAGCCTTAATAGGAGTACTCCTTCAGTCTAAACTATGCTAGGTGCCCAAGTCCAACAAAATCGCCAGGGTCGGCGTCGTGATAGGTTTGTCAACACTTTTTACCAACACAAATTGTTGAAAGTCTTAATCCCTGTTTAAGGAATTGTGACGCTTGCGACGAAAGAGGAAACTTCGAGGGGTGTCGCTATGCGTGTTTTCTAAGTGTCGCTGATGTGGGGACTATTTAACCGGTCGTAATGAAACCACGAAAACCAAGATGACTATCAACGGTGTTTATTTAGATCACGGTCACGATCACGATCACGATCGTAAACTGAAATTGCAATAATATTATAACGAAAGCATGAATCTAATTGAATTGGTGCGAAAGGCCTGAAAGAAACGCTTTACGTGCTTATGTCGATAACGCGATTAAAATAACAACAATCAACGTGAATTAACATAAACAAATCATAAAAGGCTAAATTAAAACTACTCAAGATTCAAAGATCGGCTGCACGATGACCATTTGCGGCTGATTAACAGCCCAAAGACTAAAATGTGGGCGTTACTGTGTGAGCGTCTAGTTATTTCAAAATACTCCTTTGATTTCAAGATAATTAGTTGTACTGTTGTACAACACAGTACATATGTGCGCTATCGCCCAAGGTGAAAAACTAAACTTAAACATATTGAAATAAAACTAACAAAATCACTTACATATCGGTCCCGCTTGTGCCAAAGGTTTGGAACGAAAGAACGAAGTTGCTGCTGTTCAAGGTGAAATCTTACCAAACTCTAGCTTATAGGGACGCTAATTTAGTTTTTATATGCGCGTGGTGACGCTAAAAGATCCGATTACAAACCAATAGGGAAAAGATAAACATTGTAACTACGATCGTAACTAGGCACACAAATTAAAGTAATTGACAATTGATCTAATAAAAAAAAAAGGCTGTTATTTGTTCGATATCCTTAACAGGAATTATTGTGTATTGACAGTCAACAATTTTTAAATATATACAAATTGTATTCGTTCGCCACTTTGTTAACTTGAGGTCTTGATGAGTTTTTAGGCTCGGGATTCCCTAGCCAAAGAATAAGACGTTCTTGATAAAAAAAAAATTGTATCTTCAAACTTCGCCGTATTTTTAGGCAGGTTTACACTTTGCTACTCTAAATAACTTGAAGTATTCCCTTTAAGGGTGTCAAATTCTAATGTTCTTTCCCTCAAATAACCATAACACTTTCTGTACGTATCATAATTTTAAAAACGCCTTGCGGAACTTGAGCACGAACAAACGGATTCGCTCCTGAAATGCAACAAATAAAATTAAAATCTCTGACCCCACTGAAGTGAATAGAGGTATAACTGGAGATACAGAAAAAATAGAGCCAAAATTGTGGTAGCAGCCTTAGTTACTTTCTGTTCCCTGCATGGCTATGTTGTCAAATGTTAAAGTTCTTTGTCTTTGTTTTCTACAGCACTTTCTGTTCCTCAAAAGTTTTGCGAACGCTTTCCTGAAATTTTCAAACCGCCAGGCATACACGAAAGGGTTCACTCCTGAATTAGCCGTGATCAAAAGAGCAGGAATATCTCTTGCCCAGTGTATAAGAGTGCAACTGCACGCTTTGCATAAGTTAACAATGTAAATGCAGATACAGGCAGGAAGATAGCATGCTAAGAAGAGAGCCAGTATAATAATAAAGGTCTTGGTCACTTTCTGTTCCCATCTTGCCGCCTGTCTCTTTGCCTGGTTGTCCACGTTTGTCTGATCCAAAGAATCCCATTGTTTCACTTGATCTTTGATCACACGAAATATTCTCAGATACGTTAGAAGGATGACTAAGAGAGTGCCAATTACGACTGTGTGGAGAAAGACAAATGAATATGTAAGGTAGCCTGTAACAAGGTATATGAAAGGGAAACTTAATGAGAATACCCAGATGCCAGCCGCCACAAAACCCGCTCGCTTAGGATTCAATTGTGTTCTGTAGGTTAGCGGAGACGTTATCGCCAAATATCGATCCAATGTTAAAGCTGCCAAACTGAGAACAGAAGCTGTACACGAAATGAATAACGGCACGTGAAGGTAGGATGCTGGTGGTCTTTTTCTCGCAGTTCCTTCCATTACATGATACACTACCGAAGTCGGGTCGACGAAGAATCCCATCAAAAGATCGCTAATGGCAAGGCTGGCCACAAAGTAGTTGAAAGGCGATTTTAGATCTTTGTTTGGATCGACGAAGATTGCTAACACGACGAGTAAATTTCCAGGGACCGTAAACAGGCACAAGGGAACAGTTACCGCGGCCGTTGTGAACGCGATGTAGCTTGGAGCAACTGATTGATTTGTGCACGGATATTCACCAAACAGAGACATGACTCGTGACTGAGCAGATTTGGTTGCTCAAATTTACTGTATACCTCTCTTTCTACCCGAAACTATTCACTTCCTGTTACAGTCTAATTATTAAAAACAGGAAACTATGTCTGATATGTCAGCTTTGAAGGACCTTCACTTCAGCGCCATCTTGGATCGCATTGGGCACCAAATCGAGGCTTGACGTGCTTTGGGTTGTGTTGCGTTACAGTGTTTTGATTGAAGATTACAAGAAAGCATTGCCCACAATCTTTACTATATTAACTATTGTTATAACGAGAAGCGAAATAAAACGTGGCAGAGGTAAAGAAAACTATCAGCGAAGGCGAAGCAGTGGCTGTAATTTTTCCATGTCACTTAATGTCTTTTATGACTTTATGACTTTATAACAAATTGTTTTTATTTGTGATCAAGGAACAATTCTAAAGAAAAAATTGTTTTTATTTGTGATTAGACATACGTAAAATGCTTCGCCTAGTGCCAATTTGGCCCACAACTGCTCAGACTGAAAGTAGTATGCCTCTGCTTCGAAATCAAATACCCTAAAACAAGGGTAATCCTAGACTGCACTGAGATCAAAGTCCAGAGGCCTAACTCCAAGGTTTTAAACAAAGAAATTTACTGTGCGTACAAGTCGTATACCTTCTTAAAATATTTTGTTCCATATTTAAGGAAAGTATATCGGACAAAGAAATACCAAAGCGTAGTGGATTTCTGTCGCTTGTCTAAAAAGGGGTTTCCCAGTCCAGGATATATTAGAAACTAAAAAAGCTACATTGGCAATTCCATAATTCGCGGCAAGAACAAAGTCTTTGCATTTCACATCTCAAGAAGTAACAGAAACACAACTGAGATTGCCGTATCCATGATGAGAGGGCAAGAAGGTGAATTAGAGAAAATAAAATTTTGAGAAAGTGTTACTTCTTTCGCGGGTTGGTTCAGTAAACCAAATTTGGACAATGGGCTGTCTTCCGCTAACAAACGTTAGAGGGCAAATTTAATCGGCTATTAGTGTTATTCAGTAAATCTTGGTTCAATAATGACATTTTTTGCGCCTCAAAAAGTTAATCAAGTACGTGGCAACTTATGGTTAATGAACCGAAAAAAAAGATTTGAATTAAATGAGGAAAGTTGTTTCTAATTTGTGTGATTCCAGAAAATGTCCATTTCTCCTCGAGGAAGATGGGAAATTAGAATGAGAGTGGCAACCGGCAATTTTCTTCACTTTGAAGAGATGCATAGACCCTAAATCACTATAGTTAGGATAACAGTTCATAAGCACGAACTAAATTTATCATCTGTTGTAGTAGTGAGTTCCTTGTGTGGATCATACTAACATTCACATCTCGCATAGGGTACTTAACTGACTCTCCCTTTTTGAATGGCGAAGTAACCTGACACTCATACATGGTGTGGTGGTGAAATACCCTGGTTTGTAATACTAACTTAAACATGTTCGACTGTAAGAAAATTCTTCCCTTTTGGAAAACCCGCTGGTATGTTGAGTAAGTTGTTGCCATGGTTGTTGTAATCAATTTCGTGATTGGTGGATGTAGTTGAGTATATTTAGAGTCAGAAGTGAAGTTTTTCAGAAGTGAATTTATAAACAGAGTCAAACCGCTCAAACGAAACTTCTGCCCTTTGTCACGCAATATAACCAATCAGACCTAATCTAAAGGAAATATTGGCGGTCAAGTGGTAATTCGTAGAAAATCTGCCTTAACTTATCAAATCCTCAAAGACCCTCCATCTCATACAGGGGAAGAAAGTCTTGAAAGGAGTATGACTCATGGAGTCTAAACTATAACTGGCGTTCGCTCCTGAAATGGCGAGGATCAAAGTAAAATGAAAATCTCTGACTGACTGCCGGTATAAACTTACAACCGGAGATACAGTAAGAACAAAGCCTATGCTGCGATAGCAGCCTTGGTTACTTTTTGTTCTTCATTTGTAACCTTTTACTAGTCACTGCTTTAACTCAGTTGTCCATCGTCTCCATGGCGACGTTGTCAAATCTTAAGGTTCTTTGGCTTCGTTGTCGACAACACTTTCTGTTCCTCAAAAGCTTCATGAACGCTTTCCTGAAATTTTCAAACCGCCAGGCATACAGAAACGGGTTCACTCCTGAATTGGCTAAGATCAGAAGGAAAGGAATATCTCTTGCCCAGTGAATAAGTGTGCAACTGCAGACTGTGCATAAATTAATAATGTAAATGCAGATACAGGAAGGCAGATAGCATGCTAAGAAGAGGGTCAGCATAATAATAAAGGTCTTCGTCACTTTCTGTTCCCCTCTTGCCGCCTGTCTCCTCGCCTGATTGTCCACGTTCGTTTGATCCAAAGAATCCCACTGTCTCACTTGATCTTTGAACACACGAAATATCTTCAGATATGTTAGAAGGATGACTAAGAGAGTGCCAATTACGACTGTGTGGAGAAAGACAAATGAATATGTAAGGTAGCCTGTAACAAGGTATATGAAAGGGAAACTTAGTGAGAATAACCAGATGCCAGCCGCCACAAAACCTGCTCGCTTAGGATTCAATTTTGTTCTGTAGGTTAGCGGAGAAGTTATCGCCAAATATCGATCCAATGTTAAAGCTGCCAAACTGAGAACAGAAGCTGTACACGAAATGAAGTACGGCATGTGAATGTAGGGTAAAGGTGGTAGTTTCCTCTCAACTCCTTCCTTTACATGGTACACCACCGCAGTCGGGTCAACGACGAATCCCACCAATAGATCGCTAATGGCAAGGTTGGCCACAAAATGGTTAAAAGGTGACTTGAGATCTTTGTTTGGATCGATGAAGATTGCTAACACGACGAGTAAATTTCCAGCGATGGTAAATAGACACAGCGGAACACATATCGTGGCCGTAGTAAACGAGATGTAGATTGGAGCAACTGATTGATTTGTGCACGGATATTCACCAAACAGAGACATGACTCGATAAGTTTTACGGCGCTACCAACGCTAGGTTAGAATGAGAAGTTAAGATTGAATAGATTTGGCTTACGAATCTGCTGTACACTTCACTTCCAACGCGAAAGAAGTATTGTTTTCACCGTTTGCCTCAGACTATATATAGAAAACTGTCAGCTTTGGAAATGAGGCTCTTCCATAACAATAGGTTAAACCCCGATAATTCGAACCCCACTATCTTGAAGCAAAACTGATTTCCCTTGGATTTGCCTCATATAGTTACTGTAATTATAACCCCAATTACTCGAAACCCTGATAACTTGAAGCAATTTTTACTTCCCTTCAGGTACTTTTCTTTGTAATTTTTCCCTCGATAACTCAAAGTCCATTTTTGCGGACTAATGAGCCATGACATTTTGCACCAGAAGATTACAGTAAATCTCATTTAGATGTTATGATAAATTGACCTTTGTCGATATCACACGTTTGTATGTCCGTAAACAAACAGTTTTGACAGTTCTTCCCGCAAAGAGAAATCAAGGCGCGAAATCTGGAATTGATTAAGTGTTTTTTGTCTTCTTGTTCGAGACCCTTAGAACTCGAAACCCCGAGAACTCGAGGTAATTTCAATCCCCTTGGCAATTCGAGTTACTGGGGTTCAACTGTTCAAATAAAGGTTTGTCACGTTGAATCACTGCCGACACAATGGCGGAATCTCTCAAGGTTGACACAAATTGAGACAGAGCACCGCGATATTTTACACGTCTGATGTGATAATTTAATGCCTTCGAGCTTTCAAGGTTGTGAATTTATTTTCGTTTAAATATGTTTGGCTTACATCAGAAGAATAACACAAGATATTATCAGGCCATTTACCGAGGGGCGGCAGATGGCTTGTGCTTGTGCTTGTGCTAGCTACTCCTGGGCTGCCACACTATTGCGCTCCCTCGAAAAAAATCACAGATTTGTTTGACGCTCTACATCTCAGCTGTATACTTTAGCTCTACACCGTAACTAGACTACCATCTAAGGGTAATTGTTGGCTCATCAGTGCGAAAGCGAATTCTCTCCTGAAGTATCATCTTGAAATGAATGAGGCGAATTTTTCAGTGGTTAAATAAAGCTGTTGATGCAACTTGTAATCATACCTTGGATTTCCAATTAGGTCTACAAGCTGGTGGTAAAGATAATTACAGAAACATTAACTTAACAAACCAGTTTTATTTCCGCATCAAATGGCACTTACATTCCTGATCTCGCCGAGTGATAAGCATTGCGTGACCTATTGGCTTTGAAAAATTGGGCATAATTCAACTTTTCTGGTCTAGAGCCTCTTCATCAGGTATACTCTAGCATGTTTAGTATACTCATTTCTCCTTTGAGTGATCGTTTAACCTCTCAGCGAAGGTGTGAAATGGTATTTTTGTGCCTTATACCTCTAAAGCGAATAAGTCGTTGCTGGCACGCAACGGTTGTCTTTTCGCATGACTTCGAAACATCAACGATGCCCTATGGCTTCAAACTTTGCCCCCCTTTCGCACGCCTACAATTTTCTACGCGGTAGTGTCACTCGTCGTACTCTCCGGGAGGGTGTTTCATTCTACAGCTCTTCCTTGACGATGACATGAACATTTTTTACAGGACAGAAGCTTTTGAAACGCTTTTCTGAAATTGTCAAATCGCCAGGCGTAAATAAAGGGGTTCACCCCTGAGTTGGCAAGTATCAAAAGGAAATGAAAATCTCTGACCCAGTGAATAAACGTACAACTGCAGGCACTGCAGAGATTCGTGATGTAGATGGAAATACAGGAAGGTAGATAACATGCTAAGAAGAGGGCCAAAATAATGATAAAGGTCTTTGTCACTTTCTGTTCCCATCTTGCCGCCTGTCTCTTGGCCTGATTGTCCACGTTCGTGTGATCCATCGAGTCCCACTGTTTCACTTGATTTTTCAATACGCGAAAAATCTTGTAATACGTTGTCAACATGACCAGGAAAGTGAAAATTATGACAGTGTGAGCGAAGACAAATGCGTAAGTCAGGTAGCCCGTCACAAAGTAAATAAACGGGAAGCTTAGTGAAAAGGCCCATATGCCAGCCGCCACAAAGCCTGCTCGTTTAGGGTTCAGCTTTGTTCGGTAAGTCAACGGAGACGTTATCGCCAAGAGTCGATCCACAGTCAAAGCCGCTAAACTGAGAACAGACGCCGTACACGAGATGAAGTATGGCATGTGGATGTAAGCCAATGGGGCTGGATATTTCCTTGAAACTCCTTCGCTCAGATGATATGCAAAGGATAACGGGTCGACGACAAATCCCACCACAAGGTCGCTGATGGCTAGGTTCGCCAAAAAGTAATTAAACGGCGATTTTAGATCTTTGTTGGGGTCCATGAAAATTGCCAATACCACGAGAAGGTTGCCAGCGATGGTAAACAAGCACATCGGAACTGATATTGCCGCTGAAGTAAACGAAATGTAACTTGGAGCAATTGTTTGGTTGATACATGGATATTCACCGAACAGAGACATTGCTCGGAAATATAAAGGAAAACAAAATCAACGATGGGAGGAAGTTGTTCCAGTTTTGAAACTACTCGTAGAACGTGATCGTGATCCTTGATTCGCAGCGGAAGTACCAGGCGATTATCGCTTCCCCTACCACCACCTACGTCATGTTCGTTTTCTTCCACAATAGCGAGAAAGACTGGAACAAACTAGATCCAGTACCCATGCATTTTCAATATGGCAGATAACGAGATGAACATAAACTTCACTTCTTCGTCATTTTGGAACCAAATATGAAACTAGGGGTGGACTTTACGTTATGGAACGACAGTTAATTTATCTGCGACGTATGAAGAAGAATGGACGGGACAGAACTTAGAAATATTCATGTTGTGCCTCAAAATACAGAAGCGTATAAACAACAACAAAAAGATGACACGGTGAGGTGAATTCTGCAAATACAAATAGTACATAGTTAAAACCTACATATTCCCATCTAGGTTACGAAGAAAAAGAGTCGTTTCTTGTTCCAAGTTCTTCGTTTATTATATCTCTCCTCAATAGTTTTGCAGCTAAGGAAGATAATAAAAAAATAAGTCCTTTTTTTGGAAGGATAGCATCCCTATGTGCACGTTCACCGTTTTTACTAGGGTATGCCTCCTTTATTATAGAATTAGTGCAAAAGATGAATAAATGCCTTAGTGAACCAATAAATAAAAGTCGCATATATTTACAGGATTAGCTTACTCTCATCATAGCACACTTGCTGGCCAAGGAGAGTATGGACAGTGTCTCAGCTCATTTAAACAGTAATAAAGTGAAGATCACTTAAACTGAAGAGCAAATTCAAGCATTTACGTATTTATGACTTGGCAAATAATTTTTTGTCTCCACTAACATATTGAAATGTAGTGCATTTTACCGTTTTCAGTTGCATTTGCACAACAAACATGTTCAAGGGGATTCCACCTTTATCCCAGGACCTTGTCACCACAACAAGAAGTTTGCCTGTGTTTTCATCCCTTGTGTTGTACCTTTGTTTTACATTGGAGGAGAACTGTATGTATAACTATGGTTTTCAGCTATTGCTTTCAGTTATGGCTAAATGATTTTTCTGCTTGCAAGAAAGAAGTTAGCTACTGTTATTGTCACTTAATTTGGGTTGGATCAGCCAACATATAACAGACAAACTACCTCCCATTTTAATCTTATCTTAAATGATGTTGAAGTTATTCTTATTTTTCAATATGTTAACATTGAAACTAATACAAAAATGCTATGTAATGCATGCAAAAAATGCAACAGCCTGGTGCAGAAATTTACTTCCAACCTCTAAGAGTGGGCAGCATTTAATTTCTCCTTACAATATCACCATTGAATCAGAGTCACAAGAATAAATGAAATGACCACCAACCAAAGAAGCTCTTGATTGGGTAAAAGTGAAGAACAGTTCCTGAAAGATACTGTCAGCCAAGTCAGTCAGCTGACAGTTGGCTGACTGTTGGCCAATTGTCTGCTGACAGTTTTCATTACATGTCAGGCCAAAGTTTTGGCCAACTGTCGGCCAACAGTCAACCTGGCAGCAAAAATGTGAAAAAGTTATGTAAAAGCAATGAAATCAAATTGAACATACACAAATCTCTGTGTGAACACAAATTTGTCCAGAATCTCTTGTAGCATGACCAATAATTTTATCATCTCAAAATTGATTGTATTCATCATTTTTTTCAATATTAACAGATTGTTTGGTTTTGCTGTGTTCTGTATTTTGATGATGTATCTTGTGGAAAACACTTCAAGATGTAGAAAAAGGTGGTTCAAGTTTGATAATTTTTGTGAGAATTTATTCCTGTTGAAGTGTGCATGCTGGCTGGTTGATTAGTTCTGGTTAAGATATTGTTTAAGCTTATTTATTTTATGAGTATTTACTGCATTTGATGACCAACTAGAAATTAAATCCATTTGACGTAGAGTATCCGGATAGCTCATGTCCGCAATAGTATGTGTTAACTTAACGCCATATCTCTTTCCTATAGGTCTTTGGTGGCATATGTCGTTTCAGTCCTGCTTTTCCAATTATCTTCAATATTTTGCCTTGTTCCCTTTCTATGGTAAGTTTAAACAGAGAGATTATTTTCAAAAGGTAGTTGTAATAATGAGTAAATGAAGAGTAGTTATTGTGTAGTCTTAAATAAAAGTAACTTTTGAACAAGCTAAATGCAGTTAAGTACAATGTACCAGGTAGTCTTTTTTTTAAGGTGAATAGTAAGGGGTGATACAGTCTCCTTTATTAAAAAAAAAGTCTTTTTTTGAATCATTTCTATATTCCTAGCTCACAAGAGCACCACTCTGGGATCCAGGATATTTGTTGATACTCAGTACTATAAATATTTATAGTGTGCTGATAATGAAATCTATTTTTCTTTTTCCCTTCTGTAGGAAATCAGTATTTAACCTTGGACTTATATTTATTTACAATGTATTTATTGTGCTGTCAGGTAAAGGAGCTGGATGATTAGCAGTTGTATGTGGCAATATTCAAAACCCAGGATTTTTTTTATGTAAATTAACATGACTGTTTTAATCTCTTTTATGAAATTTATTTTTGAAGGTGGTGTTGGTCTCTTCCAGTTTAAGCAACTACAGTATGAAGAGCCTGAGTTTATAAAGGTGACTAAACTTTTCAATTTATTGGTGCAAATCTATTGTACCTTGTTTTAATAAAAGGGTCACAGCATTTTCCCTGAGTTCAATCAGTTAGAGCAACAGCCCTCTATGTGTATTTGCCAAATTACTGAAACATACAAAACAAGGATGTGTTTCATATAAGATAAAAATGAACACCTCTTTGATTAGAATAAGAGAGATTGTAAATTTTGAACTCTAAGTTATCCATAAAAGAATGGTGATACAAGTAACCATCTTTCTTAATTTAGTCACTTATAAGATGCTTTCTTCATTGCTGATCCTATCTATGTGCAGGACATGTGTCTCATTTGAGCCTGGCTTACCTTAGAATTTCCTGCTGTTTAGTAGTAGGGCAACGGAATGCAATGTCAAAAAATATGATTCCTGGACAGGGATAGAGATAATTTCTTTGCTCCATGCTTGTAACAGAAACAAAGAACTTCTAACATAAAATTTCACAAAAATCAAGCCAATAACACATAACAAAGTGAAGCGAACTTGGTGAAAGCTCACCAAAATGCAATCCTTTTAATCTTCTTCAATGTTCCTTGTTCTTTCTCTTACTGAGATATCCTGTTTACATGATTTCAAGAACTTTAATTGTTGTAAAATGTTTTATTTTCTCTCTGTAGAACATGGAGTATGTAATATACATTAGCTATCCAATAGTTGGCCAGTTGACACTGACGGCAGTATCAGGAAATGTGTTCAGCTGGTCTGTTGCACCATTCTTTTGTATTATATTTGGGTGAGTAAATTAAGTCCTCTATTTTCTCCAGTATTGAGACATAATACAATAATACCTTGACAATGAACTGAGTTCTTTTGTGTTGACGTGGAAATAAACATAATGAGTTACTTCGCTCATTAAGCCATGTCTGACCAGGTATTTCATCTTACACTGTATATCCACTGAAAAATATCAGTTAATTAATTGTTCATTTGGAGAAAATTATGTGATATTTAATGAATGCTAAGTTGATTCAGTACGACATATTATCAACACTTTAATTGATTTTTTAGGTTCCTTTTTCTTCAAATTTTCTATCCTCCAAGTCGCTCTTCTTTCATTTATCATGATGTAGTACATAAGGCTGGGGAGGAAAGACCTCCTGAACGTAAGTGATTAATAGCAACCTTGGTTACACTTGTTGTACTTCAAAGAAATAGTTTTGTTCTTTACATTAAAACCTTCTTCATCAACTTGATATTTCTGATTTTCTTCTGCAGAGAACTTCCATTTCATCAAAATTAACAAATATTTATATTTGAATAAAGAAAGTACCTTGACTGTTGTCTTAAGTTTCATTTAGAGGCAGTCAGATTAATTTCTAACTCTTGAAATGGATGTCACATCTAGGGTGTGAGCTGTTAGCTGTGTGTCAGCTGTCTTTGGGAAAGAAAATGATGATACAAATTAATGAGTATATTTTTCCATTGGAAGATTTTCTTTTAGGGTCCTTAGAGACGTAACAACAACTGAGTAAGTTTTGGCAAAAATATAAGCATGCTTTTTTAAAATCATAATGTGATGATAAACTTCCTTTCAGGTTTCCTTTTAAGTAGTCTTGAAAAGACGCTGCTGTTGGTAAACCTAGTTACTGTCCCAGGCAGCATGTTTATTGTGATTAATTTTATGGACTTCTTGCACATAATTACTTGGGTGAGTATTTATTCTAAAGAAACATTATCTTGAGAATTTCTTTGATTAGTTTCTCGTATTCAGTGATAACTGCAATTTTTTGGTTCTTGTACATGAAGATACACCTTTACATCATTATCCACTGATCAAACTCAGCTTGCCGCAGTTTCTTTCCTTTCTCAATTTGATAATTAAGCATACCTTTTCAGTTCTTTTGTGTTGCAAATTTTCAACCCCAATGCTCTATATCCCATTTTTGTCAGTTCTCATTAGTTAACTGGTTACAAATGCATATTTTTGTATGACTGGCACTGCAAGTAGGCAAGGTGAAGCAAATATTGCTTTCTTGTTGTCTACCTTAGTGAGAAAGATGAGCCATTTTGTCAAACCAGTATTGTCTTCTTTGTTTGTGTGTAGCTATATTTGTGCAGAGGATCTTACTAAGAATGTATTAGTCTCAAACAGACTTTATAGAATGTTCTTCCCTGACTCATAACTCAGTAGGGGAATATGATTTTTTTTTACTGTATTTCCTCTACAGATTAAATTGATGTTATGTGGTGTTCTTCCTATCTTTCTCTGTACTTGTTTGGATATTGACGATGAGATAGAATTTTTGGGTAAGGTTCACAAACACAGAGTCTATTAAGCTGATCACATGTAACAGTAAACATTTGGAAGATGAAGAATGAACTCTGAATTCAACATGTCCTACAAGATAAATTGTGAGTGCAACTTGACCCCACAACTGGTTGAAGCAGTGACTCTTTACAGAGGCCAGTTACCACCACTTAGTGCCTAGAGAATTATGGCCTTTATTCTTGTGTAATAAAATAAGACTTGAATTGGACAGTTTGCATCCACAGATTATATAGATACAAAAGTTGTTCTTTCTTTACCTTAAATTATAAACTATGACATTCACAAAGTGCAGTAAATGATTTGATGTTACAAGGAATGCTACTATTTTTAATGACAAGGCAACTAATATACTTTTCTCTTGCTGTGTAATTTCTTCCATACCACTAACATTAGATCATTTTAATTAAAATCAGAATTGTCAAAAGATGCTGTGGCCAAAACAAAACTAGGATCTGGAGTGGGGAGTTTGGTAAGTTCAAGCTTTGTCACGAACATAGTGTCAAACATAGTGTCAAACATAGGATATCAGTGTATAAATCAATGTTGGCCAGCCACATGCCAATTTTCCCTGGACAGTGTCAAAGAGCACACACCAAACAACTTTTCATAAGCAATACTTCATGAAAAAAAGAGGTAAATTTGGAGCATTCACAGAACTTTTGAATGGAATCAAAAGTGCCAAAAGTAGTACAAAAGAAAACTGGATACTTTTTGAAAACAAAGGTGATTTCATTGTGGGTATTTGTTAATAATTCATTCTTTTAAGCTTCACTAGACAAGTTATACGTTCTTAAAACATTAGTATTGACTGGCTCTTGTTGTTTTTGAATCATGAGAGGGTGCTCAAATTTTCGACCTATTAAAATACATGAACAAATGACATGACATGAGTAAAGTGTGTGTGCATGTGTGTAACTGCAGCTGTGTTCTTATCATAAGAGGAATTATCTAAATACTGGGAACTTTACGACATCAATTCAGAATTTAATATCATGAAGAATTTTTTCTTTGCTGGGTTTTTTTGTTACTTACAAGCAGCATGACACTTGCAGTCTATGAATTTCATTGTTTTTACTGTTTTTGTAACAGTATGAATGTTATGTGTTACTTAAATAATGAAATTAAAAGTTACAAGGTATACTGTGTATGATTATAGCATTTATTCTATTTTCCTTAAAAAGGTTTGTAACTCTTATTGTCACTAATAATGTACTAATCTATTTGTACAACTACTAAACATAATTATTTGGTTTGTTTGTTTTGTTTGTTTTTCTCGTCAGCTACTGTTGGTTGTAATATTGATTTCATCTGGTACTGTGGGTTTCCGTAGTCTACCAATAATTCTAGGAAATGTCATCTGTGGTGTTTTAATTGTGATCACTAGTGGACAAGAAAAGTGGAGGGTATGTCAAATAAATCTCAGCAATGACTATAAAAAGTCCTCTTTAGTAATTATGTAGCTTCTCTGGCTGTTACCTACTGTACAGATGCCTACACATCCCAGCAAGCCATTTCTATCATCATAAACAAAGATTAATGCTATAAATTAATAGTTATTCTATTAACACTAGATCAAACATATCACCAAGTTGAAATTTTCCTCTTGGAACAACTAAGGAATAGTAATAATCTGCACTAGAGTGTATGTTTTACTAAAATTATGACCATAAATTGCACTGCTAAAAAGTGCAGGATACTTCATGTTGTCAGAAACTAAAGCACATAAAAATATCAGCTTAGATTTTTCCCCATATATTCATTAATTCTTGTATCTTGTTGTCAATGATATTAAAACAGTCAGGAATACAAGTGCTTTTTCACCTTCTTTTCAATAATTTTCTATCAGCAGTTTTTGTCTATGTTGTCTTTTTCTAAACTTTATTGTTCCCTAAGAACCAAAAAGCCTAGGCCACACCTACATTTTTTCCCTCAGAAAGTAAAGTTCTTATCACTTACCTGTGGTTTACTGACCAGCATTTCTCTTTTGATTGTGTGTTGTGATAATATAAAAATGTATGAGTGCTAATTCTCAATTTCTTCTCAGCAATTTATTAGAAAACCTTTTTTAAAGTAACTCTTTTTAAATATAATTATTTGCAGGTTTATCAGAATTCTTTATATGCAGTACTTGGTATTTTGTCTCTTCTTGGTGTATGTATGCTGCCCTGGACGCTAATGTATCCTTGAGGAATTTTACTCATATTTAGCCTATAAATGTACTATTTGATCTGGGTAACCACAGCTTAAGATGCCTTGTTATGAAGTTTTGTGTGTGTTTTAAAAGGTTATAAATACATTTTAGACCACCCGCTATGAGTTTAGAGGACGGTGACGCATGACTATTGGACAGATTAACAAGACATCGAGTGGCTTCTCACTTAACCATTTTTGACTTATTTCAATTCTAGCATTGTTTAAAGTTGGGATTGTTTTAAAACGTTTCCTCGTATTTCTTACAATAATTCTTGGGTAGATCAAGTTTACTATACATGTTAGTTATTTCTTCAGATAGATCCTAATAGTATATATTTTCAAAGACCAAATAAACAAGGTCATTCTTATTTAGAAATCCTTAACAAATGGAAGATACCATTTCCATTTTCTTTCACTCCCTCTCTGGGGAGTTAACTTTCTTCTTGGACTAGTTTCTTGTCTCTCAGTACTCTGTGTATATCTTGTTTCTCACAGTACTAACAGAGAATGGATAAATCCTCTTCTAGTTTTTCAGTCCGTAGGTAAGGCTCCTGAAACGCAAATTTGGTTATTTTGGATCGCATTCCATTTAGGTTTCTAACCCAACTACCGGTAATTACAAAATCCAATCAGAACAAAAGAAAAGAACACAAGGAGCTTAGTGGAGCTTAACATAGAAGCAGGCAAATTCTCTGAGGCACAGAAAACGCGCAAAGAAGCGAAACTTCATTGCATGTCTGTTTTATTCTCAGATTTTGAAAGTGTAGTGGCGAGAAAACGTACTCATGTTGGTTGATGCATTTTTTTCTTCTTTTTTTAAAAAAAAATTAGGTTTCCATGGTGGGATCAAATATGACTTGCTTTTTTTATTTTTACAGTATTTGTGCTTTGTGAAAATATCCTTGCTAAAGAAAGCCTCTATCCAGTCTATTTTCTTGTGGGGACCATGCTCTGTGCTAGTTACATTTTTGAAAGGTATTTAGAACATTGTCCAATTATAGCGAGGACGTTTTGGCACACAAGAGCCCTTACCTTACAAGCAACTTCTGCAGACATTCGCCAACAGCAAAATTTCCTCATAGACGGAACTCAGTTTCCTCATACAATTTCCTCCAAAACATAAGCACGCTTAAGATAATCTATGCCTTTGTAGATCATATAGGTAATGACTAGTAATTGCAAGTATGCTTTTAGGTTGCACAGAGTAGGCAAGCTCCATTCCCAGTCTATGTTACTGTGTATTGCAGTCCATGGTTCAAAGGTGCCCCTGTGTTTATCGCTGGTCCTCCCCTTCAGACAGACATCCTCTGTATTGCTTCCCAGCATAGTAGTTATATCACCTGCAGTACTCATGTTCATTTTTACGTACGTTGTAAGCAAGATAATTGAGTCGCCTGAGGACCTCTCAATAAATGAGGTAAGTTTTCTCTTAAAAGGAAAAAAACAGTCACTCTTTTCGCTGGAAAACAAAATTTATTTCTAATTTGAGCCGGCTGCCAACAGGCTGTCGGTTTTGAATTAAATCGTTTGCACCGATCACAGAAAAAATAAGCAGCACGAAAGAACGATCAGACCTAAATTTCGTAAGAATTGAGGAGTCCGTTTTGTTATTGTTGTTATAATTTGTTTCTATGCTGTTGCTGCTGCAATCAAGTCCATGTTAGGGCATGGACTTGATTGTGAATTCGCTATTTTAAAAACAGAATAAACGCTTCGAGCAATACTTTTCAGGAGAAGCAAATCTGACTTTAATTTGTTTCTTGGTCGTAGGGATTAAAGCTTTGTATGGCATCAGGCATTGTAACAGTTGCTGTATACGATGTGCTTGTGCTCCCTTTATGGCTCCTAATGACTCACAGAATACCTTCGCCAGCGGACATTCTGGGTAAGTGGGTCACTAGATGTGGTGTTATTGAAAATATCAGGGAACAGTTATTCGTGTTAACCGCAGACATGCAGAAAAATGGCTTGACGCTAGCCTCCCTTTCCCGCAGATCCTTACCTTTATCCCGCCTTTACTCCGTTTGCAGTCTTTCCAATGTAGGGAAAAAACTTTTGTGTTGATATTATTTTTTTCCACCTCTGAGTTTTTTCGTTAGTTCCTAGTCTTATCAGACCACAACCAGGTAACCTGTCTGAAGCACGTTTTTTGTGATTGTTTCAGCTGGAGTGCTGTTCATCTGGGGAGCCATATGCCTCAAGTTGTCCCACATGCACTTTTCACACAATCTCTTCCTTAAGAGACTTAACATCCTTGTTCTGTGTGTGAGTGTTTTAGTGGAAATTATTCAACCAGACTTAAATGTTTACAGGGTGAGTGCTATGTACCCTTTTGGTGTTTTAAAGAGATATGATTGCTATGAATGGTTATTGGTTAGTACACGTAACTGTATCATGTTAGGACTTGACATCGAACCAAGGCTTCATAGAATCCTCTCCTCCTGATAGAAGGCGAATTCGTAGTATGTGCATAACTGTTGTTAGTTAACGTCAGTACACATGCTCGTCATTTAAGTACCACTAAGGGCGGTGCTCAATTTATTTGATATGTAATATAATTATTTCTTAACCAGGTACTGCAAGGCGCCTTGGTGTTTGTGATCTCACTGTTTTATCCATTCTTCAGCAATGAAAGCGTTCTATCATCAGAGTGAGTTTAGTCTGTTTGTCAATCAGAATCTTAAAATTAACGCCGCCCTCAGAAAATTGACTGACTAGTGCCCTTTGTCTATAATGAAAGTAATTTCAATCAGAGACTTGGAGGTTTGTGGTTACTGCTACGCAAAATGGGTAAAGGGGATATTTCTTGTTCTTGTTATTTTAAGCAGCAGTAAGAATTCATATATATACCTCTCGGTTTTTGGAATGGAATTCGTCAAGTAGCAGTCAGAAACGTTTTTAGTGGTATGGGTTTTATTTTACGTGATAATGGGGTCTTTCATGATATACTTCCTCGGCATCGATGTAAATTACTTTTTACAAATTATGAGATAATTGTTTACTTACTTTTAGGCGAAGAGTTTTACTGCCGTGGTTAGCGGTAAAATTTTTTTCTTTTACTTTTTCTAGAGCCACTGTACTGCCTTGGCTAATTCTTGTTGCTTTATCAGTGCTATTAGCGGTATTAACTAAACTTATAACGTTTGAGCAAGCGTCTTGGTCACAGAGGCTTGCTGTTGCCGTTTTAATCGGCTTTGCTCTGGGTTTCAAGGTTTCCTCCGCGGTAAGTGTAAAGAGGATCGTCTATAATTTCCAATGCCGTCATTTCTGAATAATCGAACTGAGATACATACTTAAGTGATTAGGTGTGAATCCCTGGCATTTGAGTTCCATGTCAAACATGAAGGCGTTTACTCTAAGGTCCGAACACAAAGACGACTTAACCACGCGTCATCGAAATATCAGTAGCTTAAGTTAGACCTAACCTCATCTGCTCGGAATAGATGCGACTTTAATCAGATGGACACTTGAGCCACACCATCTCAACTCACTGTATAGCTTCGTTTTTTCTGTAGATGATGCCTCCAACAACTCGTCCACTTCTGGTCATTCTCCTGTTTGGAATTTCTTCCAGCTTTACATTTTATTTATTGATAATTTCCTGGAAGCCGATTTTTGGAGAAGCACCCCCAAATTTGAGGTATCTAGCTACAAAATTAAGTTCCAACCAGAAAATCTACAGCGAATATTTTATCCAGGCCACTTTTGTTATCGAGTTTTTCCCCTTGATGAGAGTTTGACCTATGTTTTTTCTTAGGCGATCACGGAAACAGACCAGATCCTTAAAAAACATCTAATTGTAATAACGTAGTCATGGAAAATAGGGAAAAATGAAAAAAGGCAATGAGAATTAATATGCTTAAAAGTTTCCTTCCCAGGATCATAGCAGTTATAAAACATGATAAGGAACTGATTTAGGTTTATTTCAATTGGTTAACACGCGTCTCCTTTCCTGTTGTTTGGGTGATTTTTATATATATAAAATATCTAGACACCCTACTGTCACGATGCCTCCCTCCACCCAGGAGTAAAAATGGGTACTGGCGAATTGTCAGAGAAGCCTGATGAAACGCTGGAGGGTACCCTTAGGATGAGTGGCATCTCATCCAAGGGGGGAGTAGTAATACTCCTAGGCGCTTCATGTTACATGGGAAGAAGGTCCGATTGGGTGGGCTAGTAGGCTCGAGTACAAACTTTACCTTTACCTCTACAATATCTGGCATGAACAACGATAATTTAGATTTGACTAGACATTCCTAATGAGCCATTTTTCCTTTCGTGTTTGATTTGGCTATTTCATTACAACGCTATTGCAGCTAGGTGAATCTTAAGTTAATCAAATGACTACATTTAAGATTGCACAAACAGTCATGTTAGTTCGCGTTTCGTGCTCAGGTTTTCTAGGTAATCCCATGATTTCGAGTGCAATGTGAGATAAATCAGTACCAGTGATTTTTTAAAAGTTTTTTCTGTCAATTGATTTAATTTCAATTTTTGACGTGTTCACGGCCAATTACCATGCTGACATTTTCCTATCTACGTGAGCGGAAACTTTCGAAATAGGTCTTATGCATGCTTACGTCGGAAACCCAATATCACCCCAAGCCTCACTTTCAAGGTGTGAGCTTGTGAATTTTAGCAAAAAAATATTCCAAAAACACTCAAATCAAAGGAAAGCTCACATGGAAACATCACGGAAGTGAAAAAAAAAGATTTATGAAAGTGTTGGTGCACAAGGGGCTTGTGGCTGAATATTCTGCAAATGACGTTATCCCGCTAAGTGATCTTTGACAAAGAAACCGAAGTTCTCTTTGGTTAGTTAACTTATTGGTTTTGTCATCTGTTTGTGCTCTCTTCATTAATTTCAGCATGCCATATGTGCTTCTAAATGGTTCTTTTTTGGCCTGCATCTTGTCAGAGACTGTAACTTCTAAACCCCTGGATGTATTGAAAGGTCAGTTAACGAAAAGGCCCATCACATTTTTTTAATGTTACTTTTTTTTTCGTGTTTCTATTCTTTCTCAAAATGATCTTCACAATCTTCTTCGCTTTCTTTAAGGATCGCACAAACCGCCTCCAGTCCTCTCCAGTTCGTTTTATCATTTGTGTCTTTACACTATTTTGGGTTTGGGCCTTAGAAGAGATGCTGTGGCACAAGAAGATAGCCTGGTAATTTTAGTATGAACATGTCGTGATAAGATTATTTCTCTTTATAGTTAGTTTAACAACTATTTTCCTTGACTTTGTATGTAGGAAGAGAAGAAAGGAAAGCTTCCGTCTGGACTCGTTCTTCAGAGTTTTTCGTTTTTCTCCAACATTTCCATATGCATCTCATTTCTACTGCTTCTAATGTGTTCTTCCTCGGACTATTGGGAGCTGTGGGTAAGTGGTGTTTTAAAAACTATAAACAACCGCAACAGCAAATTGTTCTGTTTTCTCATGAAGATTTTCTGTCTTTTCGCAGATTTCTTTGGCCGTTCTCCTATTGTTATTTCTGAGACCGGAAGGATTGCCTTATTTAAGAGGCATTCGTGTTCAGTTCACGCCAACCTTACCTGCGACAGTAGCGTTAGCTCTGTGCATGTACTCTCGGACAGTAACTGAAGCATTACCAACGCAACTATCTTTCTTCTCAGTTATAGGTTAGCACACACCATTATTAACATTTGATAACCACCTGGCAAAGTATAATCGTGTGAAGGGGTCTGAGAACTATAGAAGCGTCATACTGGAATTCACAACCTCGGGCTTGCGGCAGCTGTGCCCTAATGGTTATGTGCGGAAGCAAATAGCAAACGATTTTATTTCCCATCTCCTTATCTTCTCGTACTATAGACTGTAAATTTAAGTAAATAGAGTTATGCCAAACCTAATTTCGTTTCCTATCGAACCGAACCCAGGCCTTTCCATTCAGATTCCAGCGCGCTAACTGGCAACAAATAACAAAACAGCTGAGGGAAACCTGCCAAAAAGCTTGAGGAAGCAATAAATTGTTTCATTCTCCGATAGCAGGGAATAGTAGTTGGTAAACTTCTTCGTTCTTCCTTTTTCTGTTCCGAGAATACAAGACATCCATATCCTTACTTTTCTTAGCCCTGAACATTTTTATAGTTTCTTTGAAGTATTTTCACTTTACTCTACAGGTTACGTTTTGGAGATGCTTATCTTGGTCAGCTCCTCACCGACTTATGTAGTCTTAGTGTGCACGATATGGCGCGCCGGCGAGATGTCATTGGTTGAACAACAACTGGTTATGTTCACGGCTCCTAGCAACGTGGTGCTTTTGATTTACTGCAGCACTCTGTCGGCAAAAATCTTAGGCTTTGTCGGAATTTCTGCAGTCTATTGGCTGTTTTATCATGTAAAGATTACTGAAAGTAAATAGAAATTTTTTAATTTAGAAATGCGCTGTTATCCACAATCTTTTAACTGCCCAGACACAGATGAACTGGTAAAGTCCCGTTAGTCAACTGTTACGATTGTCCATTTCAACGGTGCGTTAAGCGATTAGGGTGATTTCCGCGTTGCTTAGAGTTAATTTGCGCTGTAGATATTCGGGTTATCTATTAGCTACATCATTGAAAGATGGTGGTGAAAGAGAAGAACTACCAGTGATCGTCATCAAGGCAATACGCCACGTGTTCTATTTTTGGTGTAACAAAAAACCCGCGGTTTGGTTATCTACTCGCTTATTTGGCTTTTTGTATGCTTCTCAGAATTTCATTCTAAAAAGCTACACCACTGTGACAACTCATTTCCAGACTGTTTCATCTTCATCTGCAGTGAATCGAACAAGATCATCTGTTCAAGTTGGCAGACTGATTGACACGACATGTAGGTGCGATAATATGGTAGCAGTAATACCAAAAAAAAAACCTTGCTACTTCTCTTGTCTTGCCTAAGTTTTGGAAATTAGGGAAAAGTACCCCTCCGTTTCTTTCTTTGCGCGCGCAGCGTTCTACTTTTGAAATAAGGCGGTAAGGCTTTTTTTTTAAAGTAAGACTCCAAAGCTAACGTTTTGTTTACATAGCCTTGGCGGTACTATCATTACTGTTCAAAATTTAAAAAAAGCGACCTTGACTTTACGGCAATTACTGATTTACAGGGAGATGAGGTGATCTCCATTATTTGTAATTATTTAATTCACGAGGCACGACGTCAAATGTACTAATTCGTTATTGTGACGTGGAATTAGTATTGCGAAACTTTTCTTCACATTAGGAGTTGAGTTGCAGTGCGGAGACAAAATTTTCTTATAAGAGAGATTTTCTACAAGGAGAAATGAAATTGTGGGTTGGGATTGTGTTCTTGGTTGTGTCGACACAACTGGGAATCAATGCTCGGCCCATTCCAAGATCAAAACCACTACTAAATGATGGTAGGTAAACATTCCTTGGGTTTCCTACTGAATAATATACATGAAAAAATTACTCAGTTCTGATTGGTTAAGATAAGTGTAGTTTTCAGGTAATTCAATAAAGAAGAGGGTTAATTCAGTGCAAAGAAGTTACAAACCAGACATTCTGATTGGTCGATAATCAAATGCGAGCCTTGGATGTCGCAACATTTGGATACGCTGAAAATTTGCGAGCGAACAATGGCCGGCGTTTTGAGTAGGTTTTCTTTCGCCACCGTAACAACAATAGAGCAGCTGAGAAACAGCTCTAATAACGAAAAACACTACCTTTTGGTTGTCGGTTTGGAAAAAGTGGTGTTTAGAGAAAGGAATTGCTAAGGAAATCGAAAATTACGAGCCGACCCAGCCTAACACTACTCGAGCCATTCTACGCCAAAATTAAAAACAAACATGGTTAAACCTCGCAAACGACGATTCCATTTCATCGAAAGTGATTCGGACACAGACTGAACAATTCCTTGAACTGTTTCGCCGGACTTTGAACTTTTTTGCGTCTTAGAGATGTGAAAATATTGTATATTATTGTTTTGACTGTACGCGGTTGTTTTGACCGAACGCGCACTGTCACTTGCAGGTTTGAATAAATTATTTTTGCACTTGATGCGCGCGCTTTGCTTCTGCATAATAGGCCATTTTCCAGTTGTGTACTTAGTTGCTAAGCCTTTGATTTGGAGTGAGGCTGAAGGTAACCTTGTTGTGATAGAGACCAGTATCCAATTAGCATGATAACAAAGTAATTTGCATTTGAAAAGCAGCAAGGTTTGTATCATAACAAGGTCACCCTTAGCCTCATTCCTGTTCAAAGGCTTGGCAACCAAGCACACAACTGTAAAATGGACTATTATGACAAGCTATCTCGTATTTTTTCATGTATATTATTAATACGAAATCACATGATTTTCCTCGTGCAATTTGGAATAAATAAGCACTCGTTAATTTTTTCAAAGACCACAAATTGCACTCGCCTAAAGGGCTCGTGCAATTTTGTTAGTCTTTGAGAAAAAATTACTCGTGCTTATTTATTGCACTCGAAATCATGTGATTACCTATATAATAATAATTAATAGGTCAACCGGGTATATCGTCTTGTGGGGTCACCAACCAATGACTGGAGCTTATGAACGAAGGCCAATCATTGTAACATTATTAATTATAGAAAGTGATAGCACAAAGTTGGCAGACGTATCGTGCTTCAGGCGCAGGAAAATGTAATCGACAAGATCATAGCGCGAATTACTATGCCAGACATAGAACTTGGTGGGGCAAAACCAAACTTAGTAATAAAAAACAGCTCTAATCGCCGAAGGTCATGTTGATAAAGCATATTTAAATTCTAATTTCCTCATTTTTTATGCGGTTGGGGAGGGTACATCGAACACTAGGGGTGAATTTGTGCGACATAATCAGTAATAAAAAGAGCTGCACGCACTTCTTTAATGGATTGCGCGACCCAAGTGATGCTAAAATTTTATTGAGTAGTTTATCTGAAGCAAAGTGACTAATAAAGCAACGACTGCTGAAAAGCGCTTGTGTTAAAACTACTGAGTTTTAAGTACTTTGCAGCCAGCTTTCAGCGTTTGTCCAGGAATGAAACAGTCGAACTGAGGTGTTCAAAAGATAGGCTGTATATCCATGTTAGACAACTGTCAATAGGAATAACCCTTGATGTAAATTCCCGACAACTTTCAATTTTTCAAAACCTTCCCTCAGAAAATTTTTAAGGTGTTCCCGATCACTCTGAGAATTCCGAGTGGAAAGAAAATGATATTGATGCCATTTTCGATTATGAAGGTAAGCCCCATGAGCCTGAAGATTCATGTCTCGACAATGAAAGTGACCCGGTGACTCTGAGGATTCAGGTTGGAATGAAGACGCTATGCATAAGTCATTGAATTCTTAACGTACTCTCGGAACTAAGAGTCATTAACATCACCTTATAAATAAGCTTACAATGATGTAGCTCTTGATTCTGCCGGTAAACTTCATGACATTATATATATTAACGACTCTTTACATGATAAAGGTGGAGCCGATGACGATGAAGAAGCCAACTGGACTAACGGTGATGATTACAATGAAAATGCCGAGTGGAGAGACAGAGAAGGAGGTGACTCAATCGATAGTGAAGGTAGGCCCCCACGACCTTGGAGATTGGCATCGGAATTGAGATGATACTAATGACCATCTTGGTGCTATAGGTGATCCGGATGACGATGGAGACGCAGAGTGGAGAGACGGTGATTATGATCACTCTATCGATAGTGAGGGTAAGTTCCATACAACAGACATTGACAATGACGTTGATACGAATGAATCCCTAAGAACCGAAAGCAAGCCCCATGAAACTTATCACGGAGAATCCACATCGGAGTAAAGATGATACTAATGACCCTCTTTGTGTTTAAGGTGAGCCCGATGACGATGAAGATGCCAAGTGGAGCGACGGTGATGACTTAATCAACAGTGAAGGTAAGCCCCATGAAAGTACGGGTTTATATGAGAATGACACTAATACTAATGATATCCTTGCTTAAAGCACTAACAGCTAACTTTTTGTTAAAGGTGAGCTGGATGTCGATGACGATGCTGAGTTAAGCGGCGGTGATCGTGATGAGTCTAGCGATGCTGACGGTGAGCTAGAAAATGAGAATTCATATGTCAATAACGTCGATACTAATGACCTTCTTGGTATTTAAGGTGAACTCGATAGAACTGAAGACTCAACTGAAAACAATGATGATCCTGATGATTACTTCGGTATTGAGGACGAGCACAGTGATTATTCTGATGGTAAGCTTCCTGAAACTCAAAATTTTTATCAGAATAAGAATGATACTTATGTCTACCTTAAGTACTAAAGGGGAGCCCCAGGTAGTTTCACGAAACATATAATGGTGAATAACCAAAGAGAGGGATGACACTAACGTTTCTCTTGATGCTCTAGGTGAACTAGATGGCGATGAAGATATCGAAAGAAGTGAAAGTGAGGATGATGACCTCATCCATAGTGAAGGTAAGCCTCAGAAAACTTTTTCGTGGAGATTGACATCGAAATAAAGATGATAACGGCTCTCATTGTGCTAAAGGTGAGCCAGATGGCAATGAAGATGCCGAGTGGAGTGATAGTGAAGAAGATGATTTCATTGATAATGAAGGTAAGTCTTATGAAAGCAACATAAAGATTGACATCGCAATTAGGATGATGCAATAACTCTCTTTATGCTAAAGGTGAGCTGGACGGCGGCGAAGATGTCAAATGGAGAGATAATAATGATATTGACCTCGTGGATAGCGACGGTAAGACCCACGAAACTTATCATGAAGATTGAAATGGGAATTAAGATGATACTATGGACTCTCTTTGTACTTAAGGTGAGCAAGATAGCGATGAAGATGCCGATTGGATAGACAGTAAAGATGATGACTTCATCGATGATGAAGGTAAGCTTAATGAAAGTAACATGGAGTTTGGCGTTGGAGTTAAAATGATACAAATGACTATCTTTATGCTAAAGGTGAGCCGGATGACGATAAAGATGTCGAGTGGAGAGACAATCACGATGATGGCCCCGTCGATAGTGATGGTAAGCCCCATGAAACTTATCCTAAAAATTGACATCGGAATAACGATGATATTAACAACTCTCTTTGTGCTACAGGTGAGACTGATGGTGATAAAGATATCGAGTGGAGTGACAGTGATGATAATTCTATTGATAGTGAAGGTAACCCTTATGAAACAAATCATAAATTCCAAATCAGAACTTGGATTACACTAACGACTCTCTTTTTGCCAAAGGTGAGCCGGATGGCGATGATGATACCGATGGGAGAGACAGTGACGATAATGACCTCATCAATAGTGAAGGTAAGCCTCATAAAAATTACCGTGGAGATTCACATCACAATCTAAATGATGTAAACGACTCTTCCTGTTATAAAGGTGAGCCAGATGGCGATGAAGATGTCGAGTGGAGGGACACTAAAGATGATGACCTCATCGAAAGTAAAGGTAAGCCTTATGAAAGTAACGTGAAGATTAAAATCGGAATTAAGGAGATACAAATGACTATCTTTGTGCTAAAGGTGAGACGGATGGCGATGAAGATATCGAATGGAGAGACAGTGACGATGATGACCTCGTTGATGATGATGGTTAGTTCCCCGAAACTTATCCTAAAGATTGACATCGGATTTAAGAAAAAAACTAACGACTCCCTTTGTGCTACAGGTGAGCGAGATAGCAATGAAGATGCCGATTGGAGAGACGGTGAAGATGATGACTTCATGGATAGTGAAGGTAAGCTTTATGAAAGTAACATGAAGTTTGATATCGGAGTTAAGATAATACAATTGATTATCTTTGTGCTAAAGGTGAGTCGGATGGCGATGAAGATGTCGAATGGAGAGACAGTGACGGTAATGATCTCGTCGATAGTAACGGTAAACCTAATGAAACTTATCATGAAGATTCAAAACGGAATCAAGGTGATACTAACGACTCTCTTTGTGCTGCAGGTGAGCCAGATGGCGATGAAGATGCCAATTGGATAGATAGTGAAGATGGTGACTTTATCGATAGTGAAGGTAAGCTTTATGAATGTAACATGGAGTTTGACATCGGAATTGAAATGATACAAACGGCTTTCTTTGTGCTAAAGGTGAGCAGGATGACGATGAAGATGTCGAGTGGAGAGACAGTCACGTTGATGGCTTCGTCGATAGTGATGGTAAGCCTCATGAAACTTATCATAAAAATTGGCTTCGGAATAAGGATGATATTAACAACTCTCTTTGTGTTACAGGTGAGGCACATGGTGATGAAGATATCGAGTGGAGTGACAGTGATGATAATTCTATTGATAGTGAAGGTAACCCTTATGAAACAAATCATAAATTCCATTTCAGAACTAGGATTATACTAACGACTCTCTTTTTGCCAAAGGTGAGCCGGATGCCGTTAGAGATACCGATGAGAGAGACCGTGACGATAATGACCTCATCGATAGTGAAGGTAAGCGTAATGAAAGTTACCATGAAGATTCACATCGTAATCAAGATGATGTAAACGACTCTCCCTGTTATAAAGGTGAGCCAGATGGCGGTGAAGATGTCGAGTGGAGTGGCAGTGAAGATGATGACTTCGTTGATAGTGAAGGTAAGTCTTACGAAAGTAACGTGAAGATTGACATCGGAATTAAGATGATACAAATGACTATCTTTGTGTTAAAGGTGGGCAGGATGGTGACAAAGATGCCGAATGGAGAGACAGTGACGATGATGACCTCGTTGATAATGATGGTAAGCTCACCGAAACTTATCATGAAGATTGACATCGGAACTAAGATGATACTAAAGACTCTCTTTGTGCTACAGGCGAGCAAGATAGCGATGAAGTTGCCGATTGGAGAGACAGTGAAGATGACGACCTCATCGATAGTGAAGGTAAGCTTTATGAAAGTAACATGAAGTTTCATATTGGAGTTAAGATAATACAAATGACTATCTTTGTGCTATAGGTGAGTTGGATGGCGATGAAGATGTAGAATGGAAAGACAGTGACGGTAATAATCTCGTCGATAGTAGCGGTAAGCCCCATGAAACTTATCATGAAGATTCAAAACGGAATCAAGATGATACTAAAGACTCTCTTTGTGCTACAGGTGAGCCAGATGGCGATGGAAGTGCCGATTGGATAGATAGTGAAGATGGTGACTTCATCGATAGTGAAGGTAACCTTTATGAATGTAACATGGAGTTTGACATAGGAATTGAAATGATACAAACGGCTTTCTTTGTGCTAAAGGTGAGCAGGATGACGATGAAGATGTCGAGTGGAGAGACAATCACGATGATGGCCCCGTCGATAGTGATGGTAAGCCCCATGAAACCTATCCTGAAAATTGACATCGGAATAAGGATGATATTAACAACTCTCTTTGTGCTACAGGTGAGGCAGATGGTGACGAAGATATCGAGTGGAGTGACAGTGATGATAATTCTATTGATAGTGAAGGTAACCCTTATGAAACAAATCATAAATTCCATTTCAGAACTAGGATTATACTAACGACTCTCTTTTTGCCAAAGGTGAGCTGAATGACGATGGAGATACCGATGGGAGAGACCGTGACGATAATGACCTCATCGATAGTGAAGGTAAGCCTAATGAAAGTTACCATGAAGATTCACATCGTAATCAAGATGATGTAAACGACTCTCCCCATTATAAAGGTGAGCCAGATGGCGGTGAAGATGTTGAGTGGAGAGACAGTGAAGATGATGACCTCATTGATAGTGAAGGTAAGCCCTATGAAAGTAACGTGAAGATTGAAATAGGAATTAAGATGATGCAAATGACTATCTTTGTGCTAAAGGTGAGCCGGATGGCGATGAAGATGTCGAATGGAGAGACAGTGACGATGATGACCTCGTTGATAATGATGGTAAGCTCACCGAAACTTATCATGAAGATTGACATCGGAATTTAGATGATACTAACGACCCTCTTTGTGCTACAGTTGAGCGAGATAGCGACGAAGATGCCGAGTGGAGCAACAGTAAAGATGATGACTTCATGGATAGTGAAGGTAAGTTTTATGAAAGTAACATGGGGTTTGACATCGGAATTAAGATGATACAAATGGCTTTCTTTGTGCTAAAGGCAAGCCGGCTGGCGATGAAGATGTCGAGTGGAGAGACAGTGACTATGATGACCTAGTCGATAGTGATGGTAAGTCCCATGAAACTTTTCTTGAGAATTGACATCGGAATTAGGATGATATTAACAACTCTTTTTGTGCTATAGGTGAGGCAGATGGCGGTGAGGATCTCGAGTGGAGTGACGATGATTACATTTCTAATGATAGTGAAGGTAACTCCAATGAAACTAATCACGAAACTCACATCAGAATTACGATAATACTTACAGCTCTTTTTGTGCTAAAGGTGAGCTGGATGGAGATAAAGACACCGATTGGAGAGACAGTGAGGATGATGACCTCATAGATAATGAAGGTAAGCCTCAGAAAACTTTTTCATGGAGATTGACATTGAAATTAAGATGAACTGAAGGCTGTCATTGTACTAAAGGTGAGCTAAATGACGATGAAGATGTCGAGTGGAGTGGCAATGAAGATAAAGACTTCATTGAAGGTAAGCCTTATAAAAGTAACATGGATATTGACATCGGAATTAAAATGATACAAATGGCTATCTTTGTGCTTAAGGTGGGCAGGATGTCGATGAAGATGTCGATGAAGACGCCGAATGGAAAGAGAGTGACGATGATGACCTCGTTGATAATGATGGTAAGCTCACCGAAACTTATCATGAAGATTGACATCGGAATTAAGATGATATTAACGACTCTCTTTGTGCTACAGGTGAGCGAGATAGCGATGAAGAGGCCGAGTGGAGGGACAGTGAAGATGATGACTTCATGGGTAGTGAAGGTAAGCTTTATGAAAGTAACATGGAGTTTGACATCGGAATTAAGATGATACAAATGGCTTTTGTTGTGCTAAAGGTGAGCCGGATGAAGATAAAGATACCGAGTGGAGAGACAGTGAGGATGATGACCTCATCGATAATGAAGGTAAGTCTCGGAAAACTTTTTCATGGAGATTGACTTTGAAATTAAGTGGATACTGAAGGCTCTCATCGTACTAAAGGTGATGGCGATGAAGATGTCGAGTGGAGTGGCAGTGAAGATGATGACTTCGTCGATAGTGAAGGTAAGCCTTATGAGGGTAACATGAAGATTGACATCGAAATTAAAATGATGCAAATGGCTCTCTTTGTGCTAAAGGTGGACAGGATATCGATGAAGATGTCGAGTGGAGAGACAGTGACGATGATGACCTCGTTGATAATGATGGTAGGCTCCCTGAAACTTATTATAAAGACTGACATCGGAATTAAGATGATACTAACGACTCTCTTAAACGACTCTCCCTGTTATAAAGGTGAGCCAGATGGCGATGAAGATGTCGAGTGGAGAGATAGTGAAGATGATGTCTTCATAGATAGTGAAAGTAAGTCTTACGAAAGTAACGTGACGATTGACATCGGAATTAAGATGATACAAATGACTATCTTTGTGCTAAAGGTGAGCAGGATGCTGACGAAGATGTCGAATGGAGAGACAGTGACGATGATGACCTCGTTGATAATGATGGTAAGCTTCCTGAGACTTAGCATAAAGATTGACATTGGAATTAAGATGATATTAACGACTCTGTTTGTGCTACAGGTGAGCCAGATGGCGATGAAGATGCCGATTGGAGAGACAGTGAAGATGATGACCTCATGGATAGTGAAGGTAAGCTTTATGAAAGTTACTAGAGTTTAACATCGGAGTTAAGACCATACAAATGACTATCTTTGTGCTACAGGTAAGCAGGATGATAATGAAGATGTCGAGTGGAGAGACAGTCACGATGATGGCCTTGCCCACAGTGATGGTAAGCCCTATGAAACTTATCTTGAAAATTGACATCGGAATAAGGATGATATTAATAACTCTCTTTGTGCTTCAGGTGAAGCAGATGGTGATGATGATATCGAGTGGAGTGACAATAATGATAATTCTGTTGATAGTGAAGTAACCCTTATGTAACAAATCATAAATTCCAAATCAGAACTAGGATTATACTAACGACTCTTTTTTTGCCAAAGGTGAGCCGGATGGTGATGAAGATATTGATAGGAGAGACAGTGAAGATAATAACCTCATCGGTAGTGAAGGTAAGCCTAATGAAGTTACCATGGAGATTCACATCGCAATCAACATGATGTAAACGACTCTCCCTGTTATAAAGGTGAGCCAGATGGCGATGAAGATGTCGAATGGAGAGACAGTGACGATGATGACCTTGTTGATAATGATGGTAAGCTTCCTGAGACTTATCATAAAGATTGACATCGGAATTAAGATGATATCAACGACTCTCTTTGTGCTATAGGTGAGCCAGATAGCGATGAAGATGCCGATTGGAGAGACAGTGATGATGATGACTTAATCGATAGTGAAGGTAAGCTCTATGAAAGTAACGTCGAGTTTGACATCGGAATTGAGGTGATGCAAATGGCATTCTTTGTGCTAAAGGTGCGCAGTATGGCGATGAAGATGCCGAATGGAGAGACAGTAACGATGATGACCTCGTCGATAATGATGGTAGGCTCCCCGAAACCTATCACGAAGATTGACACCTGAATTAAGATGATACTAACGACTCTCTTTGTGCTACAGGTGAGCGACATAGCGATGAAGATGCCAAGTGGAGGGAAAATGAAGATGATGACTTCAGCGATAGAACAGGTAAGCTTTATGATAGCATTATGGAGTCTGACATCGGAATTAAGATAATAAAAGTGACTATCTTTTACGCTAAAGGTGAACTGGATGGTGATAAAGACACCGAATGGAGTGACAATGAGGATGATGACCTCATCGATAGTGAAGGTAAGCTTCATGAAAGCTATTATGGGGATTAAAATTGCAATCAAAATGATATTAACTCTCCTTGTGCTTAAGATGAGCTAGAAGGTGATGAAGATATCGAGTGGAGGGACAGTGAGGATGATGACCTCATTGACAGTGAAGGTAAGCCTCAGAAAACTTTGTTATGGTGATTGACATCAAAATTAAGGTGATACTAACGGCTCTGTTTGTGCTAAAGGTGAGCCAAATGGCTATGAAGATGTCGAGTGGAGTGACGGTGGTGATGACTCTATTGATAGTGAGGGTAAGTTCCATGAAAGTTAGGATTTTTCTCTCAATAACGCCAATAGTAATGAGCTCTTGGCATTAAGGGTGAATTTGATGGAACGGAAGACCTTGATCACCATGATGATGATAGAATTGATTACTCTGGTATCGAAGAGGAGCTCGTTGAAAATAAAGATTCGAACCAGAAAGAGGATGATACACAGGACTCTTTCGATTTTGATGTTAAGCTTTGTTACAGAAGATAAGCTCCAAGGTACGGGTGATTCGAATCATAAAGAAGATTTTGCTAATGACTCTCTATATATCTAAGGTGGTTTTGATGATAGAGATTGGGACCAGAATGAAGATGACTACTCTTTCGGCACTGAGGATGACCCTTATGAAAGTAAACATTCCAAACAGAATGAAAGAAATGCTGATGACTCCTCTTCTGAAGGTGAATCAAATGAGATTTTAGATTCAAATCATCACGTAAATGATATTGACAATTAATTCGAAACGATTGCAGATATCGAAGGTGCTCTCGATGCTAGAGACGACTTTCTAGAAACCGAAGCTTCAGATCCAGATACCGAAGATATTCGAAACGTCCCTAAATTTGTGGAGTATCACGCGCAATTTGAAGATACAGAGTGGAGTGATGATGATGACAAGGAGGATTCTGGAGGCTTTGGAGTTCATAATAATAATGAAGACTTAGAAACTGCATGGTGGAATGACAACGATGAACACACTTTCGATGAGTTTGAAAATAATTTGGAGGAAATCTGAAACTTAAAGTGGAATGAGAACTTTTCTTTTTTTTATGATAATGATGTTAATTTGATAACTGTCAACTTGCTTTCGTGGAATCTATATTTTCGGGAGGGGGGTCTTTGATCAAGATTTTACAGTGAAGGAAATATGTGGCCAATGAATGAGTGGAAATTTCGGTTTCTTTTTCTTAAAGTACAACTCCTTCTTCAGTTCTGGTAATCATAACAATAAAACTCTTTGACAGGTTGACAGCACAATTTCTCTAAAGTGTGATAATTCTCAACCAGTTCATGGATGATGGCCGATCATGCGACGATCATGCGACGATCAATTTTCGTCGTTTTCGCTCACTGCGTATTCACTGATCAAGCGCCTGACTTAGGTTACGGTTCAGTCGGCTTTAAGCTCAGCATCAAACATCTTGTATTGCACAAATTTCATGTTATTAACGGTTCTCACTTTATTAGGAATGCCATTCATGACCACGCTGAAAGCAAAATGATTATTCTCGTCTATTGCATACCCCATGCATTTTTGTCAATTTTTTCCGTGTTTTTAAGTTTTTTTTAGTTATTTCTCCCTCGTTCTCAATCCCTTCTCTTCCGTGCGTCACAAGAGAATAGTTGCTCCCTCAATTCGTGGACTTTTCTACAGATGTTTTGGTTTGAGTTGTGCTAATTGTTGCCCAGGGAGAGCGAAGTGGTTCTGACAGTTATATACGTACGCAAGCTCCTAATATGTCCAATCCAAACGAAGTACAAAACACCAGATAGACGACGCATTGGTATTTTTAATTCGATTACTTTCCAAGAATATTATATCGACTTTTTTTGCATTATGAAAGGTTAGCAACAAAACACAACAACTAAGGAAATGGCAGGTAACCATATATATCATGCATAGTGCAAGTAATCCAAAATATAAAGTCAGGGGCGCTCGTTTGTCGTAATCAAACTACACCGTGTTTTAAATCGGATAGATTAACAATTTATCGGCTGCTACACTTGTTTTTGCCGTCAAGTCAAAAGGTCAATATTGTATCGAAACATTGCACTCTTCAAAATACTTCGTTGGGAAAATAATACTTTTCTTTTCCGGCATTAATTCAGTTACTACTGCAAAAGATTAATTTATTGCTAGAGACGACTGTGTGACATTTTTACCTTCGGCAATTTTCTGCACCATGCGGCGATAATTACGTGATAAAGGGTTACTAAGTTGAGGTAAACACCTTTAAAAAAAACTCTTATTCGATGTTATGTTGTTGAAGCGATATCACTAAGCCGGTGGAGTTCAGTTTCCTTGATCATGTAAAGGAAAATATAAAATATAATTCGAAGACGAGTGGGTGAAAAGGGAAATAAGAGAGTTTATCTTCCCCCTCACTACTCCAACGTTAGTCTTCGCTCAATCTTGCGGTTAACCACTCACGATAAACAATTTCTCACGCGTGTCACTAGGTGCACGGACCAATATTTATCATTAAGTGCACTTTAAAATGAAGATTAAGTCACCATTTCAATATCAAAAATAGAAAGTAATCTTTTCTGGTGTCTTGCTCTGCTCTTAACAGAACCTTGTGAAAAGTAATGAGCATTTGCTTATGGACATCGCCGTCACTGTCATACGAAACCACACCCACTCGTTTCTAATCTTTTCCTTCGTCAAAGCGCCTAATTAGGCTACAGTTTTCAAAACAGTGAATGGAGTCCAATTTACGTCACGTCAGGGCATATGTGGCAAGGGAAAATGCTTAAAAAACTCTTAATGGGGAGTGCATTAATAGTCCATTTTTGAGCCCATTGGTGAGCTGATTGAGAACATCAGCACCTACATCGAACAATTTTAATGTGATATGCCTTCAGGGAATATTATCGCAGAATAGAGAAGCATTTCAACAGAGGTCTTATGCAATTCCACACATCTGAACTTTGGTTCAAGATTACGCGAGAGTCGAGCTATACGGTAATTATTCACGCTAGCTTAAATTTCGTAGCCCTTAAAGGACTAATTGCTGTTGCACAGACTGTAGAGGAACTAGGAGCTTAATTCTCTTTGCAAAAACTAACTTTGATAAAACAGAAAATATGATGAACTCAAACCAGACGCAGCCAAATTTGACAGGAGCTTCAGATATAGGGACAGTAACAATCGTGCAAGTGACATCGTATGCGCTCATAACAATCCTCGGGACTGTTGCAAATTTACTGTTGTATGGTGCACTTCTGAGAAAAAAACAACGAAGCCCCAGCGAATATTTCGTGCTGAATCTGGCTTTTACCGATCTCATGACGTGTGCAGTTGGGATTCCGTTAGATATGGCCGAAATTTTAATCCAGCGTTGGCCATTTGGAGCCTTCATGTGTAAAGTTGTGTACCCATTTCAGACGGCTTTAATAGGAGTATCAGTTGCAACATTGACATGCATGGCCATCGAGCGATATCGGGCCATTCTGACACCTTTCAAGCCAATGATAACAAAAAGAATGGTTAAGGTTGTGACATCCGCTGTTTGGTGCATATCTGGTGCTCTTGTGTCACCTTACATCGTTGTTCTTGAACATAAACGCGAACAGCTACAGTGCACCGAAGCGTGGCCAAGTGAGAACTATCCAAAAATGTTCACTATGTGTGTTTTTCTACTCTTTTACTCTCTGCCTCTGTGTATTATTGCCCCGGCATACATTTGCATTGGATTCAGATTGTACTCTGACGGTAAAAAGATGAAACGATTCAGCATTAAACAAGGTGCTGGAAATCAGTCGTTCCGAAAGCTGGTGAGACAGCGAACAAGGACGAATGTCATTATTGTGAAAACGTTTTTGTTCGGTGCTGTAGCGTTCTCCCTGTGCTTGTTACCCTATCACATTATGTGGTTATGGGCTGACTTCGGAAATGGTGCTCACTGGAGTTATTTTGGAGATGTACTGGTTTTTGCAAACGCTTTGGTGTATTTCAACAGTTTAGTGGACCCATTTATTTTTGGAGGCACTGTGATACGACACAATTGGAGTAAAACATGTGCGGCCATGCTTCAAAGGTGCTTGAATATTCAAATGGTTAACGAACGGCGAAAGACAAACAACAACGTATCCCTAAAACAACAAAACTGCGATAATTCAACAAAAAAGCCATACTTTAAGCTTCCAAACGCCCCCATTATTTATACTTCGTCCGTATGAACACGGATCATTAATCTGGCTGTCAAGTTATGTTAGTTATTTAGCGCCAGAGATCGCTTGAGTCGCCAAGCGAGTAAAATATATCGGTTTGTTAAACTTTTCAGAACGTTAGGTATCAATGTTATTTTCTCTGAGGGCACAATTGTTGCGAAACTTGGATGTTAAGTTTAAAAAGCTGAACTTATTAACCTCTGAAAGATTTAACTAGGCCTTCGATTGCCAATTATTTTGAACCTCGCCGAGTAATCGATTCAGAGGCTTACATTTTATCTTTGATACTACGCAATAATGCTAGATAAAGAAAGGAATTTCTGTTAGATAAGCACAATGATACCTTCTGCACTGATCGGGTGCATGTAGCTGTAAGTTATCTAAGGCCATATTTTGGAACGATAACATTTAACAGTAGTTTCGTGTAGTACCTACAGCCTAACGACCTAAGGTATACCCCCTTTTTTTTTAACACCAACCGTTTTGAAAGGGAGCTTTCATAAAATTTGACGTCTGTTCTGGAAGATTTCTTGGATCCTGATGACACTTTTGTAACCAAAGAAAACTTTAATTGTCAAAATAATTAAAAGCTTTCCGGGTAAGATGAACCACACCATCCTGTTTCCTGAAGAACACAAACCGTTCAACTTGCCTGACGTAAATAGGAAGCATTCACTTTAATCTCTATCTCGTCTGATTTGTTTTTTTATTCCAATTATTATTATTAATTTTTACGAGTTGAGATTTCGTGCTCTTTTTGTGCATCTCAGTCACACCGGTGGCTGATAATCAGGAATACATCATTTCACATTTCAAAAATCTTATTATTTTCATAGTTCGTAAAGCGATCAAAGTTTCAACTAACTAAAATTACACTACAAAAGTGAACACAAATTTCCAGTTTTTAGATTACTTAAATAATGTTTGAGCAAAAAGACGAGTATTTAAAATCAATTGTGTCAATAACCGACAATTTGATCAATCGTTGTCCACTTTCAGAAAAGAGCTCCAGACCACAGTCTGTAGTACAAGGGTATTATTTGGGTGGGTGCAGGAGGAAAGCGTGCGAAGGGTGCTGGTAGGGTGCGTGCGCACAAGTACTTGTGACATACTTCGTCCTTGTAATAATCAAATCCGTCCTTCTGGACTCCTAAAGCAAAAGGCTCTTCCTGCAGGTCAACACATTCTTAATATTGCATTTACAGGTGTTGTACCCATTTAAGCCTAATTCACGTAGTAATACTTCAGCTGCTAAGACGTGTTAGTGCTAACTAATTTTTCACTGCCTACCAGAAAAACGGCCGTCGGTGAATGTAGACTAAAAATACTGCCAAACCAGACGAAACATTACAGAACTATTCCGAATCAACTCAATTTTTTTTAACAACGGTGTCTCATGTATGATTAGGATAATACGATTTCCTCAAAATCATCCCTCATTCTATGTGGATTAATCAACTTATTTACTATTATTGTAAACCATTGAGTGCTGGAATTATAAATATGGTATTTACGCAGGCTGGAGCACGCGATCTGGGCTTGAACTGTTAATCAAACGCAAGCTACAAGTTATCGTGGGAAATGCCCCCAAGGCAAGATGGTTTTTTAAATCACGTTCCATTAATTATAGTTTTACATTGTAAATTATTTAAAAGACAGATTAAAAGCAAAGAATTATGATAAAAATTCCATGAAAAGATGTTTTTGTCATTCATGGTTAATCCTAACAAAGCGAAAACAAATAAACCAAAACTAAACCAAAGAAAACAAAATAGAATCTCTAGAATACCAAAGCCTTCTTTTCTAACCTCGGGCAAGAGTATCACTGCACACAAAGCTGAGTATCCCGCCTAAAATTTTTCAAAGTCCTTGGTGTAACACAACAAACCCCTCTGCAATCTTAACAGTGTCGTGATGTCCGTAAACGATTTGAAACAATGCACAAAAAGGTAAATTAGCATTATCAACTGCGTTGACGACGTAAATTGGCCACCGTAAAGAGTTTCAAAGCTGACGTTTCGAGCGGTAGCCCTTTGAAACGTCAGCTTTTTAACTCTTTACGGTGGCAAATTTACGTTATCAACTCAGTTGATAATGCTAAATTACCCTGTTAAAAACTCCCATTGACGCGGCACCAGAGTTTCTGTAGAAACTTACCCCTTTTATTCAATGCATAAGAAGGTACTCTTTCTTTGGAAACGGTCCAACAAGCGTAACGAGCGCTATCCTAAAGGAGCGATTGGGGATTCATGATTCCTTTGCTTACGGATTTCAAATTCATGCATTTATATGCATTTGTAACGGCCCTATTCTTGATAGATATTTTACACCCGAGCCAATCAGACTTATTTGATCTTGGCAATATTTACCAAAATCCCTCACCAAAGTAGCAACCGCGAAGCGAAGTAAACAAAACCCAAGCAATCCTGGATTGTTCTCGACGCTCATTTTTGAGTAAATTGCGCTAGCAAGGAAGGTTATTGTTCGAGAAGTAACCACAACCCAAATTATCATGAAGCTGAACAGACTAACATAATTCTTCTTTAATGACGTCTGACTGAGCTTGTGACTTTTTTATTTGTTCTTTGATTTGTCAGATTACATTTTCTCGGCAGATACAACACCTGCACTAGCTGACTGCAGTTTTGTGGGATTGATAAATTTAATACTTATATAGTTTGGTTCTGTAACATGTTTCCTACAGTGAGCACAGTTCAAAGTATAGTGTTTTGATTATCTGTGACCATTTCGCACCATTCTCTTACAGGGTTTCTCTTTCTGGAGGCTTTGAATTCTGTCTCGTTGATCGATTTTTGCTAGTCTTCATACTGGTCTACCTGAAAATTTATCAACGCGCATTCTGTTACTATATGAATTATTAAGCATTTTTTGCACACTATCTTAACTTAACTGTGATGGTGCATTCTGGATAGTTTTGCATGCACATAATTTTAACCTATCCTAACCTGAGTAAAGCTATTTTTAACCAAGCGCCATGATTTAGTATTGTTTCTCAAGTGCTAGCCTCTCAAATGAAATATCTGATAGGCTAAGAAATGCCTCTAAACTCTATAGTAGGCATCATAGTAAATTTTTAAAAATATTTGTGCGAGATGCACATCCGATTTTAGTACCAGTCCACTTGAGTTCTATCACAAATGCTGTTATCTTATTCGCTTCGGCACTCGCTATCTATTCCGTGATAGACGCTGAGTAAAGTAAATGGTCGAATAGTGTCGGTGCAATTGTAAACAGAATAAAAATACTGAACTACACAGGCCAGTCTTGTTCAGTTTTGAACGAGCAGTAAAATTGACACTAGAGCAATCAGCCTATTCGCTCTCGATTTCTTTGCGTGATGGTTGATTCGGGCTTTGCTCTCACCAACTACTAAGTATCAAGCGAGGGAAATCTTTAGCCCATAATCTGATTGTAAAATAATGACTCTCACCCACACAGCCCAATATTCTTTGTAAGTTTGCATCATAACACCTATAGTACCAAGTCACGAGTCACCACAAGAAAGAGTTTGACAATTTCAGTGGTAAACTAAAAGAGTAGAATTCTATGGATAGATTTCGTACCGCAGTGAATTTATTCGGGACGTAACCATTTATATCAAGACTGTTTTATATTTCATGTTATTTCAGGGATTTGATCTGAGGTATCAAACTGTAGTAAATACTTACTGTCTTAAAATGCAATATTTCCTTCTCAACTCTTGTGCCTAACACAGCCAAGTGGGAGAAATGCCCCATAGCGAGGTTAAAACTTAAAGAAACTCAAGAAGGTAAAATTTGTTGACACTGATAGAATTTTAACAGAAAGCTACAAAAACAGACGTGTGTAAAATGATATTCCTTTGTTCACTCAGAAGAGACATGAAGACCTATTGCACTTGAACTCAATAATTTTAATAACTTCTGTCGGTGATCTGATAAGGACAGGCCGATTTTCTGAGAACTGCCTTAAGCTTCTTCTCCAAATTCATTTATTAAGTTTAGACATGAAACATTGCATTGTAGATATGGTGTTTATCAGAGGTGAAGTATAAGCGACCTGATATTAGAAAGTTTATCAAACTAAAAATAATCTGAAAGTAAGAATTGTTAAGTCATTGTGCTTCACTAGCAAACGTAGATATCGATGTTTCAAAGATGGAAGTCTGCAGGAAACAAAGTTTGATGTTTAACTCATTAAGAGATAATTAGGGTAAAAATAAATAAATACAAAACAGTGTGCAAAACAAAGTGCGGGAAACAAAGGTTGATGTTCAACTCATTAAGAGATAATTTAAGGGTTAAACGAAATAAATAAAAATGACGTTCCATTTATTGGTCTTCAACCTCAACCGTGTAAATGTGATTTCGTTTTTTTTAAATATTACATCTCTTTGAATCTGCAAAACAGTCGATAACTTGGCATTCCTCACATGGTTTCACAAGTAAATTGTGACAGAAACGGGCGCCGGCCAAAAAAGGCTCGTTATGAAAGGAATACAGTAGTTTTTCTCTTTTCTTTAATCTACTGATTTCTCTACTGTTTCAAATCAATTTGAACAGCGTTGAACACTCATATCTGCGGTACTTTTGATACAGCACATCTCTGAGTTTTGGTCACATGGAGTCTTGTAGATCCCCTTATTCGTCATCCACAACACTCACCTGTGTTAAATAAAATGAAGCCACGTAAACCCCATGCAATAAATGATGCTTTCTTTAATTTGGAAATCAAAAGTTAACATTTATCACAAGGGAAGAGAATTCCTACTACGACGACTTTCATAGTTCAAGTGGAGAGTATTGGAAATTTAAGGCAATACAACTCCAATTATATAGAAACGATGGTTTGAAAATGTACTCATTTACAGACGCTCATAAGAATGTGGGTTCAATGACTGTCAACCCAAGCCAAAGACTATGTTTGAAATTCATTTTAAATGGTTACTTTTAACAATACCTGGCTAGTGGAGACTTCGAATAACGGCCAAATTAAGGGTCATTTCTTCTGTGTTGGTTAAATTTTTCTGACTTATATAGTGAAGGCTTGAGGGGTCTGACTCGGCGCCAATTTAAAGGGTCTCCTTTCAAGCAAGGTACTATATAACAGATCTATTCTCCGACTCCTTTGTTGAAGAGGCGGTCCAGTCTTTTAATTAAGTTTATCTTTTTCCAATCTCGTAAAGATTTCAGTCAAAGTTTATTGCGTCTGCATATGAATTATAAGGTTTTTTAGGTCAAAAGTAATGACCACGTTACTGACCGTAATGGCACGGTTTCGGATGTGTTTCAACACAAATTTTTTACTCAACTTAATCTATATATTAAAACTATATACTTAACTCTATATCATCTAAGCACTAAAATTAAGGGTTGCTTCTAAAGCTTAATGGTATCGAGCTTTTTGTTCAGTAGGTTACAAAATTCATCTAATATGCATAATAAATGGACAGGTGTAGAGCATTATAGTTACTCTTTAAAAATATTTGCGCGCAGTGCAGACCCGATATTATCTACTCATTCTTTGAACACAACATTCTCTAATGTTACATTTTGTAACTTAGTTTCCAAATAAGCTCCGCGTATATTGTTTCCTTCAGTATCTAATTCTTAGTAGGAAAGAGTTTGGCCAACGATTTCAGCTCCGAACTGAAAGAGAGAAATTCTTGCGATAGAACTAGGAACGAAACACGTTCAGGATGCTCACTTGGAAGGTGAGTATTGTATCAGGACTGCACTGCACCACATTTCAAGGATTCTTATGGCTACCAATCTGTAGTATATACTGTTTTTCTTCAAAATTACAATATTATTAATATCACCATTTAAAAATTGAATGAATATTTACGCGGATTGTTCCCGCTTGCAACACGAAAGGGAGAATACCTTTCATATCACCAAATTTAGGTTTAACCTATCTATTAAATAATTCCTTGTTGATGTTTCAAAATCAAATTATCTGGAAGTATATTTTAAATTGCAATGAATTACAATAGTTTTGGGGTACAACAAATCAAAAACAGGGACAAATTTCGACGTCACTCGATATAGAAATCTTCTATAGGAGCTTGATAGTCGAGAAATTCAGCATAAAACTTCTTGAAGGCAAGCCTGTAATCACAAGAGCAGATAAAACTCGATTAGTACTTTTAACGGAAGAAAGAGTGTCTATGTCCGTTATTTCAAGCCAAATAATGCCGGACTGAACTCAGCCAAACAGGAGAAAGCATTTCAGCAAACGCAGTACATCAAAAAGCCCACTGTCATTCGGCAACATTGTCTTGGCCATCATGAAACTGAAATGTTACCAGTGATCGTTGAGCCAAGCTAAGGGGGGCCAAAGTTATTACAAGTGACGACGATCAAGCCGTGGGACTGAATTATCCACACCAAGATCTACTTTAGGGGTAATCCATCTTAGGATTTTGAATATTTGAGGAACACCTAACAGATAGCCAACCCAAAAGGGCAAATGCAGCTTATGTGGACAAAAACGTTACCCATCCAGTCTTCTTCGTTTATTCTTCAATTAACACGAGAGATTAACTATAAAATAATTTAAGGAGGTTGACTCCGAAATAGAACCTCCAAAGAGGGTTTAGTTTCTTTGGTGTGTATTGTAGCTTGATCCACTCTTAAAGAAGATTAACAGAAAAATATAACATACAGAAATAAATAAAATAAAAAGATCTAGAAAACATTGAGAAACTCCCTACCCTACAGCGTTTGCTACTGGCTCGGTCGAGTATTCCGACATAAACACGTGACACGCAAATCGGTGATCTTCAGGATGTTTCGTGATAAAGGCGAAGAATCTGGAAAACAGAAAAACTAGTCGTTAGAATGTGCGCATTGACTTTCAATTAAAAAAAATCTGTAGTTAAAATTACGAAGAGAAAAAAGACTTTTCTAGCGTACCTGGCATTTTGTGGATGACAACCACAAAACGTTACATTCTTTAATGCAAAATAGTGAGATTGCGTTAAAGTTTCCTACGAAAAAACAAACAAACACTGTTGGGTTTAATATTTCTTTTCTTCATTTGGGAGAGGGTGGCAAAGGTGAAATAAAGCGGCATAAGCTACTCCAGAACATTCTACAGTATATAAGCATTACAGTAACAGTAACAAACACCCACCCTTGGGTAATACAGATTGAATCCAACCGGTGAATGATTCAACAACTTCAAAGATTTTATTTTCACCATTTTGGCATAACAGAATGCAACAGGGATGTTATCACCAGCCTCCTTGTTTATTTTTTACTTTTTTTTCCAGCCAGAGCCTATCCCAGTTTCCATGTAGCATGAATTGACTAGGAGTGTTACTACTCCCCTCCCCTAAGGGTACCCTCCAGCATTTCATCAGGCTTCCCTGACAATTTGCTAGTACCCATTTATACTCCTGGATGGAGAGGGGCACTGTTGGAGTATTGTATCTTGTACAAGAATACTACACATTGACCTGGCCATGTCTTACACCTTGGACACTCAACCTAGAGTCCAGTGCACTGATTATTAGGCCATTGTATCTCCCGGCAACTGAACTATAACAAAAACCTGATGTGTTGTAAGAAAATAACTGTAAACCTTTCCATCCCTGTCAAAAAGTTTTCCTAGTTTACGTCTGCTTGATTTCTTATTAGATGCAGAGTCCTGAAATGAGAGCAAAAAAAGAGATCACCACTGAATCCCTACCTTGTCACCAGCACAACATATAGCATTGTGTAAATTGCAAGAAATATATCTTACAGGTTAAAATTCAGTCACAGGGGCAGATCCAGGAATTCCTGATAGGGAGGGTCCAAACATCAATTTGGAAACACAGATATCATTTCCTCTTAGGCCTAGATAAGCTGAGAATTATATCAAGACTTTTAAACAGATTTCAACTCATTCAACATTCATATGTACACCATGCTGTATTCCCCTTAGAGAGATAGCAGTTATGTACCCATGCTTATGGTGATGAATAGTGCACCAAACAACTAGTCATAGCCAACATTCAATGAACTATAAAGTTCAAATGCATAGTGTTATCCTTTTTGGGTAGTAACTGGTCAAATTTACCACTTGTAGTACCTTTTATAAACGGCTACACTTTACCTTCCTTCCTAATGGACCTTGAGGATGTTCAGTAATTCTGATTCCTCTCTCACTGACATCCAGTAAACATGCTGGGGGCTTGGTGACTGATGTCAGTTGATGCTGTTTTACAATCTGAAAGGTGTTACAAAATTACAATTATTATTATAATAAAAAAAAAGGTTTTGATGTATAGGACTCTGCAGACCCCTAATGTTGGATCCCAAAGTAAAAGGTACACCATGTTACACAACCCATACAAAGGCCTGTTGAATTGTAAAATTTATGCATTTATGAATGCAATGGGTGCAAGCAGGATTCTTGAAAGTAGTTAATAGTCTTCAAATCAGCCTGGCAGTTCTTTTCAGGGGGGGTGAATAAAAGAAAAAACAAGTAAGAGGTTCAGCAAGGATGGATCATACAAGCAAAGGACTGGTATTCATTTATCACTTGCTTTTACAAGGTATCAGAAGGATCTGATGTTTTTAAAGATTTTGAGATACAGAGATGAATCCTTTCAAATGAAAAAAAGAAAGAAAACAAACTGTAATAACACTGGCAAAAAACTCAAGCATACCTCTCTCATAGCATCACATATGATATCATTTCCCTTGAAGCCACTCACTTCAACTGATCCAAGAAATCTTAAGAGTATGAAAACAAGAAACTTAAAGTTCCTTCCAGAAAAGTGTTCAATAGATGTTTACATTGATTTCATAAACTTAATCACTCAATATATTTTGCAGTTAAGAAAAAAATTGTAACAAAATGATTTCAATGGCTTTTCTTCATGTCCAGCACTGTTTATTTTACATTTCTATGAGCTCATGCACATGGAAAGTGAAAATTGAAATTAAATTGAGTAAGAGCATTGTCTACCTTAATAATGTAACAAAACCCCATAAAAAATTAAAATCTTGGGTCAAAGCTCTTCAGAGGTTCTTTATACAATGATTACCTCTGAGGTTTTTTACATTTAACAGACTTGATAATTGTATTAGTATTTTCTGTACTGCTTATTTAGTAATTATTATCAAATGGCTAACCATAGGTGGTATGTGATAGACCATTAGGTAACATTCAATGCTTAATTAAATTATTATTTAATTATATTAAATTTCAGAGCCATGAAATTTGATCTCACATCAAAGATAATTCAATTTTTGTTTATTAAATATTCAAGTTCAATTCAATGGAATGTCAATTCCAAATTCAATTAAAAAAGAACTTATGATAAGTGGCCCAGAAGAAAATGATTACTGAGAACAAATCATTTTTCAGTTCTCAGGTTTCTAATTCATTCTAAATGAAACAACTCCTTGACAAATTTTTCATTTTTCATCTGCTAAAGTGTTAACACGCTCTTTAACTGAGAGCACATCAATCTGGTCAACTAATCCCAAACAGTACAAAGTAATATGTACATTACTGATGTGTAATAATTTCTTAAGCAATATCTTTTTAACATTACAAAAATCCACTTATAAAGACCACAATGAGCTCTTGCTGATTTTTTTTTAATCCTAGAAGAGTTTACCTGACAATACTCACTAATTATAAATAAAACTTGGAATCATTTGATAACCTATATTGTAAATATAGAGATAGTACACTTGCTATATTTGAAATTAAAGATGCTTTTTCTTTCCATTTTACACCCAAATGTTACATTGTACATACCTGACACTGAACTGATTCACTTGTGTACCTCTTTTGGAATTGTCTGAAACAGTAGAAAATATGTCTTGCTGACTGCTTTATTTATAATATATATGTTTAGATCATATATGCTCTTAGTAGAATTAAATAATTATTTTTGTAAACTTATTTTTTTTCAAAATTTGCTGACTTATATTTCTAGTCTTGATCATAGTAGTGGCAAAATTTAGCCTCGCAAGTGATTAGTTAGTGCTACGAATCTCCAAGCTGCCAGAGGAAAATAGCCCATCAAGAACTTCATTTCCGACCATTTTTCTGGCTCTACTCTGGTGTATTATTAAAACAATTATTCACCTTAATGTCGGTGAAAATGAATAATTGTTAACTAATATTAGTCAATGAAGACTCTTAACCAAAAAAAATTTCAATTGAGATCACTTTGAGAGTTTGATTTATTAGAAAAATCGAGTTATGATAAATTTGCTTGCTTTGGGCCAGCAACAAAAGTGTAATTTTTGAACAAATATCTTTGCTGAAACATGCTTTGTCTTAATTACGTAATCAACGTCTGTTTTTAGAAAGGCTCTCTAGTGTGCAATCCATTTATTTGTTTGTAATGACGACAACACCGATGTTGATGGCAGTAATTTGAATAATAAAGAAGTTACCACCTACATAATTATGTTTCATTCATTTTAGGAAGCTGGTTATCACTTATTTGCTATTTGTTGTTATTTCCATTGTTTCCTAATCCATAAAAGCTGAAAGGAAATTGTTTCATTCTTTTCAAAGTTAAACAAAGAAAATAGAGTTGAATGTTAGACCCGAGCTATTTTTCTGACAAGAATATCACTCTAACCTTGAACGTCGCTTTCTCGCAAAATATCAGAGACGTAGCGAGATGGGAAAATTCCTGATTCGCCGGTCCGCAAATTAATCCCTACGAACCACAGATCTTCATCCTTCTTGTTCACATGAACCGCATCTCCAGTTTCCAAGCTCACTTCGTCGTCGTGTCGGGCCACGAACTTATAAAGCGCAATGTGGGTTTGTTTGATTTTCGATCTACCGAAGTCATCTTCCGAAGATAAAGAAGTATTACTGCTTCGTGATGAGGACGTACTCAGTCGTTTGGATTTTAATGTCACAATTTCAGCTGAATAATTAATCGACGGAGTCACTGGACTCTGGGATGAATAAAGTGACTTTGGAGTTGCTGGTAAGAGTCTTCTTCCTCTTTCTGTTTTTGGACTCATTATCTTTTGTTCGGAGACATTTCCGACATCTCGAGACTGCTTGACATGTCCGTTTTCTTCTACGGTCGAAGTTCGGCTTGTCATTTTATCTCTGTGATCCCTCAACACATCTTTGTTTTTAATGGTGAAAGTTTCCAATTGTTCCTTCAGGGTTTCTGTATTGTTCTCTGCATTCCCGTACAGTGAAGTTATGTTTCGACCAATTGTTTCTCTTTCACCTGTTCTTTCAAGATCAGAGTCCACTAATGTAGAGGCTGCCGAATTTAGCATCGCTCAGGGAAACTTACCTTTTGTACTTCCCGCTTGAGAGCTTGTATCGATCAACAAATATTGGTGCAATATCGGCTTGGCGGCAACCAAAAAATGACAACACTTACGTTTGAGAGGCGGATCGCGCGGTTTCCCTCCGTTTTTACCTCATTCACCGGCTCTTCAGAAGAAAGGGCAGACATTCTAATATCAGTGAAGTCTCAGACCCAGAGCATGTCAGCTGACTTTTCACGATCGGATAAACTTTGAGGTTAATCTAATTGAATTGTAAATATTAACTAAAAGACGGCATGTGGAGGAATTTAATTATGCTAGGTAACCTGGCCTAGCTTCATTAGCAACCAAGTTGTACGAATGTAAGCAAATTCGTGATGGCTTAATTTGATATTAATTGATGGTCAAGGCTCAGCCAAAATGCAGGCCTTACCGTATTTACAAATCAAAGAGCCCGAGAGTGCTGTCTCTCCAGAGAAGAAAAGTTACAGATTGAGTTTACACGAAGTTTCGTCCAAGACAGCTCAGTTCAAGGACGGACAATCGAAGAGTGGAAGAAATGTCAACAGACCGGTGAGTGGTCTGCAAACATAGCAAATACGTGTTAAAAAGGATACAAAATTGGCTAAACTTAATAATTTTGGATTTTACATGGAACAAAAATAATCTTTTGAAAAATTTACACCACATTATTCTCGAACTTTAGACACCATTGTTGATACAACAGTTTATCTGCTAAGTTTAACGTCGACTGATCACATTGGAAATTTTACTGAAGTTTAGCCAATGTGAGCCTTGATTGCTTGCTGTTAAGTCTCGTCTAGTACGGTTGATAAGAAGGTAAATATTGTGCATTTTTCTGTACAGCTGTTAGGTAATTTTTTTCTTAGAAATTTGCAACGCTGTAGCGCAGTAACTTTGTGAAATCAAACCAGTTAACAAATTAATATTCAACTTTCTTACCAAAGGTAAATTACTGAGAAACAAACTTTTAGAAAAATTATAGGCCAATTTCTTTTGGTTTAAAGGTGTCGGTGAAATGCATTTTTGTCATATTTGGAGCTCTTAATTTACTTGGAAGAGATAAGTATGTAGTGCCCTCAGGGTTATTATTTAATCTTGAACATTCTGTCTGTTGGGTGTTCTTGTTATTCAAATTTTTCTTTTACCCTATGAGGTTTATACAAAACAAAGCAATTAAATAGCCTTCAGATATTTCCATCTTTCACTTTTATGCATCTTGTTTTATTTCTAAATTTGTGGCGGAGAAAATCACATGGTATGTGTTGAGCTACTAACTGTGTTTTGATGAACAAGAAAGCAGAAAATTTTGGCATATAGTTTAATCAACTCTGTTTCATTATGGTGGCTGAGAAAGGAGAGTTACATGCTGAGTTTCTTCTTAAAATATCGTCATCCCAGTGGGTTAGTATTTTGCAAATTAAGTTTTTAGTGTCTAAGGAGGTCACATGTTGGGCTGTCGCTATTCTAGAGATTACTGATGACGTCAAAATGTGGTAAGAATAGGAAAATGGCATTCAAGGTGCAGTCAAGTGTATCACTGCTGTTTGATATCTGTTATGATCCATTGTTGAACAGATGAAGGTCAATAAACTAAATTCATTCCATATTGACCTTCATCTGTTCAACAATGGATCATAACAGATTAAATTAAGTTTTTAGTGTCTAAGGAGGTCCCATGTTGGGCTGTTGCTATTCTAGAGATTACCGATGACATCAAAATGTGGTAAGAATAGGAAAATGGCATACAAGGTGCAGTCAAGTGTATCACTGCTGTTTGATATCTGTTATGATCCATTGTTGAACAGATGAAGGTCAATAAACTGAATTCATTCCATATTGACCTTCTTATATTTTAAGAAGAAACTCAGCATGTAACTCTCCTTTCTCAGCCACCATAATGAAACAGAGTTGATTAAACTGCTTTCTTGTTCATCAAAACACAGTTAGTAGCTCAACACATACTATGTGAAATAAAAAAGCAAAGAGTTGTTCATGGTGGTGTCATCAATGTGTCTGTCCTCCAGTAGAGGATTACTAAGAAGCAATTAAAAATGCATGGATAATTAAGCTTAGATGTAGTATTGGTAGTCTCCATAATTCTTCTCTAGATAAAAAATTACATCTCTTAGATTAACAATAAAAGCTAAGTTTTCCATTTGTCTCACGATGTAGTCACATGTGATGTAGATCGTGATGTTTCGACTGCATAATGCTAGTCTTCTTCAGATTGTCATTTGCTTGAAGAAGACTAGAAGTATGCAGTTGAAATGTTACAATTTACACCACACATGACTACATTGTGAGACAAATGGAAAACTTAGCTTTTATTGTTATTCACCATGATGAATAACCACAATCTTTTTTATGAAATCTCTCAGTTTACAAACTAAAACTTAAAAAAGTAATAAAGAGGTCAACAATAGTAAAAATATGTAAAAAAATTTAGATGATTTACATAAGGATTCTAAGAATGGTGTGTATTAACTTTGGGGCAATGACAAAATTTATTTCCAAAATTATAAATGTAATTGTTGATAATTTAGAGTTGCAGTGGCAAAACTTAAATTTAGGTTTGCCTTCTATCAGTCAGCAGTCAGTACATGCACTTGTAACACATGACTTTCATTAGTAGACTAATGAGTGAAGGGGGATAGGACATTGTCCTTGTTAAGATTCTACTAAAATATGACAATTAAGGGAAATCTGATTGTAATTGAAAAGATTAAGAAGAAGACAGAGAGGGAGCTTGCAGAACTCTCAGTTCTTCAGTTGTTACTGGTACATCATGGGCTAGTCCTTAGGGATACGTTTGCTTTCTTATGAATCTTGATGAAAGCCAAAAGTCTGAAGATTGAATTTAAAATTTTAAGATTCCCTTAAATTGCAAAGAAATTCATACAATTGAAGTTACTTTGGATAATCTCATATGATTACTCTAATCACTATTTAAATGTAGCTTTCTCTTGAGTCCTGATTTACAAATGACTGTTCTTTACTTTTAAATTGTTCTAGGAATGTTCAAGGGAGAGCAATGGACTTCTTGAAGGAACAAGTAGCATTTACTTTGGTGATATTGCACCATATCGCACTCCTGCACAATCACCATCTCCAAGCAAAAGTTACAGAAGACCAACAAGGAGTCAGAATCAATCATCTCTTCCAACGTGGCTGGATCCTCTAGGAGTCTGGCTACCCAGTAATAAGGTAAGAACTTCTCACCACCATACACAATTTCAGGCAAACTTTGGCAAAATTTATATTACAGTATAAAAGATCTGTCTTTGAAATATTCTGCAAGATTGTCGGTCTTAGAATGTTTTGAAGATCTGTAAAGGGCTGAAGATAGAAGTAATATGAAAGTGTTTCTGTTTGCATTTTTTCAGAAACATTTAAAAAATATCCATTCAAACTTTGAGCAGCATTTCATTAAAGATGTTACATTGATTGTGTTAGATAGTGTGGCTTTTGGTTTCTATAATAATTCATGTAATACTTTCTAGTTATGGAGTATTTATGCTGCAGAATGCATAAACAATGTTGGGTTGTACATTGCACAAATAATATCTAAATATGGTAAGCAATGCACTGTTGGTTTTTGCTTTGTTTCAAGAAAATTGCCATAGTTTGAAACATAAGAAGATGAGAAGTTAGTTGGATTGAAAAAATTTCCATTAAAGAAAAGTGTGTCATTGAATTGATGTTTAAATTGTTTAAAATCCAACAAAGTTTTTATGGGAATTCTCTTACCTCCTTACACATCCTCTTGCAGGTTTTCTCACCCTGTCTTTTCCATTCCTTTTGGATCTTTGTTGCTGTTACCAAGTGATTTTTATACAATAAAACAAACAGAGAATGGAGCTAGACAATTGCAGAATATAATAATTTTTTCCTATCATGATCATAAAAGGATCATACCTGAAGTAACTGTAAAAACTGTAGTGTCAGTGATGTTGATTCTTTCATTGCAGAAGACTAACTGCTATGAGACATTCATAAGAAATGCTGAGCTGTTAAGACGCACCAGTGACATGTTTTTGGTAAGCATAGGGTGCTTTTAATATTGTTAGAACTGAATCGATCATTCACGAACAACATTAATGTCGACGTTTTTCCTTGTTGAATGTCGCAGTTAATGTAACAAGATGTAAGTGTTGTGGCGAATGTATATTTTTTTGTTTTCTTACGTATAGGTCGTATGGAGTAACTTCAGAATACCCTGCCACTTTGGTCCACCTCTGAGGCTTTCAAGAACGAGGCTTAACACAATAGATGCTATTCTTATTCAATGACATGTAAATGAGTGGCAGGGTATTCTGCAGTTTAGCCGGTCGTCTATTTCTGCACCTATTTCTTTACGCTTATTCTTTTCGTTTTTACACCTTTCGTTTATCCGCCATCATTTTCGCACTTTATGTAAATTATGCCGCCCTTCCTATACCATGTCTCACACCCCTTGTAGCAGTGTGTTTTATTTTCGCGTCGATGTAAACCTTTCTCCCACGAGTTTTTCTTGTCTCGCATATTACCTCAGCATTTGGTAAGTTTTCTTTTTGTCTCATGGTATATTCCCATTTATTTTTCCCTTTTTGCAGTGTATGCTAGTATATTTTCGTAAAAGTCGTTTTTCGGTTCCTTAGGAAGTAGGAATGTACTTCTGCTTCACGTGCGTATTAAAGAGTAGTTAAATTCGATGTTAAGTAAACGTGTTTAATGGAAGTGGGGCCCTTGCCTCTTTGTGTAAGTATTTATTAATGTTGATTTGTGTGGTTTTTTTTTTCGTTGTTAATACAGGATCCCTGTCCACATGTTCCAAGATGTTCCCACGAAAGGACGCTCTCTGCTCTTAAACGACAACAACGTAGGATGAAAACAGTGGATGATTTGAGGAAACAAGAGGTTTGTGCTCTACATTTCAACTAAGTAAAATTAAGATACGTTTAAATTAAGTGATACTTTTGGGGAAGTTACTCATCTCCTAAGAATTTACAAAATATAAAATCCGGGTAAGTCAGAAAAAATGAAAAGAAAAAAAAACAAAGCAAAAAAAGTAAATAGGTAATGCTGAACTAAGAAAGAACAAAGAGGAATAAGATTGGAAAATATTTCTATGAATTCCAAATGGTGAACTTGAAAATTTAAAGTTCGAAACTCCGCGGAACTTTATCCCGATTAGTTTTTAAACCAATGGAGATTTTATTTCTTTCATGTCAGCGTCATAGGCGGATTGTCGAGAGAATTCAAAAGATTCGTGACATGTGGGATCAGTGGTCAAACCAAAGCAAGTCCTCAGGAACAGAACACGATAATAGACTGAACAACTTCAGGAAGAACCGAGGTAACATTGGTTTAGTCAGACTGCAATTTTTGTTTTCCGTAAACCAAAACCAAAGATAAGATCACGAGAGCCAATGAATACATAGAGGCAAGTCATTTTGACACGACTAGGTTCAGCTTTACATCTCCTTGTGATTGGTCGAGGAAGTGGCGCGAATTTTCCCGTCTAATCGTAGAGTGAGGTGATCTGATTGCTTTCAACACACAACTGAAAATCGCTCCAGCAGACAGAGACGCGGGTTTATTGGTACCAAGACCCTAGCCTGCGGTAACGCTCTCATTGGCACCGCTGCCTGAGGATCTCGAACTGGTTCGCGTTCCTTGGTCTAAGAGGGGTTGACCAAGACAGCTTGCAGATCTTTCGCGAGACTCTGTGAGATGCACATGAAGTAGCATCAGTAAGGCCCTTACTTTGTGCACTAGCAGTCCCTTTGCTGTTGTACAAAAGATTATGCTGCTATTCTATCTTTCAATTTTAACAACCGCCTTCAGTGTATTCTTGAGTGTTTCGTGCACTTTTATAATGATTACCCTCTCTTTCTCTTATTTTACAACAGATGGTTACGTCGACCCAGATGAAGTTATCAAAAAGAAAAGAGAAGAAAGAAGAGAACGCGAAAAAGTTATACGCCTCGAGCAAGCTAAAAAGAGGGAAGAAATATTATCCAAGCAACGTTTTAAACTTCCTAAAATAGTTGTTTCTCAGTACGAGGAGCCAGAGACACTTCAATACTCCCGACCACAAAGCCTTACAAACGAGAGACAGAGTGTGTTACCAAGTTTGGTGAACATTCCGAGTGGTCTTCAAAATCAAATCGATAAAGGAAATGATGAAAGCGAGGTGGAGTCCCAGGGTAGCAAAGGAGTTTCTCTTGCGCTGCCTGAGTTAGAGAGCAGTTGCCAAGAACGGAATTATTTTGAGAATACACAACAGGGTGAAGAGCAAGTCGATAGGATATTGCCCGAACTTGAGCAGAAAGTTCCTACAAAGGCTGACACTGATGTTACAGACTCTATATCTCAAGGCATAGAATGCAGTGTTGAAACGGTGGAAGGAAAGAATGTGAAAACCCTATTAGATAATAACAATGTTGTACGGTTGGATTTACAAATAGAACTTGAAAGTGATGTAGTTTCGGAAAGTGTAGATGCAAAAGTTGATGAACAGATTGTGTTAAATAGAAAAAAAGAAACAGTAGACACGGAAAGGTCTCACCAACAGCAAGAGGAGAATATTAATTCAGTAGACGTAAGTAGCACAGAGGCGCTTTTAGAGATTGAACAAGTTAACAAAACAGTAGGGACAGAACAAGTTTACGAAACATTAGAGACAGAACAAGTAAACGAAACAATAGAGACAGTACAAGTTAGGGATACAGTAGAGCTGGATAGTATAGCAAGTGCTGAGACCAAGGAACAACCTCAAGAGGAGGGAATTCAAAGTAGAGTGGACAAGAAGGAACTAAGTGAACATGGTGAAGACAAAGAAGAAATAAAGAAAATAGTAATGAATTACCTTGCACCTCCAAGTGTTCCACTGCTGGCTGGTGAGAATGGCTCTGATAATGGTGCTATAGGTGATGCAGATGATACAGGTAATCATGTAGTTGAATTAACTCTTGAAGGATCTTGGGGTTTTTTTTGGCTAATCAAAAATTGTCTATGATCAGGAGGAAGCCTTCTTAGTGATAGTTCGCAGAGAAGGAGAAACACGCTAAACAGGGGAGAAGAAACCAAAGGGAAACAAGGATGTAACTCTTTAAAATCTTATATAAAAGTTCTCAAGATGCGCAAATGGCCATGTATTTCTTTTATCATTTCTTGTCTCTTTTCATTTTGGGAATATCCTGGAAGGTTCAGTTGAGACCCCTCCTTGACTGTATTTTCTCTACCTTCTACAACTCTCGACTTGACTTGCGCACACTCATCCGTTTTTGGTGTGGTCTGCAAATCTCTAGGCAATGCTGTTTTTACTGATTTATGAAACTGTTTTTGTCATTGCTTTGTTAATTGTCTCTCCACACTCTTAATTAATACGTTTATTTTTAGCTTCTTTGATGGGGGCGTTTATTCCCGTGGCACTGGGCGTTGGCAATGGCTTAATAACCAATGATGCAATGCGAGCCTCTTCCGTACTGGATCGTTACCATGTACCTAGCCAGGCACGACTAAATAATACCAAACAGGGGAAAAACAGTGGAGCCTGGAAACCAAAAATCAATGACAAAAAGCAATACCTAGAGGTGGACCTTGGAGCTTTGACGCTCGTTTCTCAGGTTTGTGCGTGTTTTACACAGTTCTGGTAGCAATTAATACAGGACCTCGTCGAAAAATATCAGTTCAGTGAACCTTTAAATAGGATACGTTCTTCTACGTAATTTAGGTCGCCACTCAAGGTTGTCCCTCAGCTAACGGTGTTAAGACACAGAAGAAAGATAAATGTTGGGTGGAGTCATACGTTCTCGCCTTCAGCACAGATGGCTCAACTTGGCAACACTACACAGAGGATGGCGTGGTGAAGGTAATAATTGATTGTAGTCCTCTCCATGTGGGAGCCACCTACCTACTTTGAACTGCTGGGCTGTGCCTGAGAGTTCCCTGTTACAATTACGTGAACTTCTTTTTTGACGATTATGTGTGCAGTTGACATACTCAGAAGTCTTCTATTAGCAATACTCAGATTCACCTGAAGTTTTTTCAATTAGATTTAAGTTATAATGCACTCTGTGTAGAACATGATTTGAGTGAACAACTAAGCTATAGGGGTCTTGGTTATAGAGCCTCATCTAAACACAAGGAAAGCTTGGATGATTCGAGAAGTTTATGCAAACCCGATATTGCGTCTCCTAAACCCGGTCGTGTTTAGATCAGGCTATGTAAACACGGGGAAAAAATCCTATATTGGTTTTATAAATTATATCGCATAGATAATTATAAACACAGACAGCGTGACATCACAACCGTGTTTGCTTTCTTACATCTACGCGCTATCAACCAATGAGAGCGCGTGTACTATCTTAAATATTCTTTCATAGTAAATGGTAGAACAAATTTAGTTTTCACGACTTATATTTTTTAAAAAAGAGATTATTAAACTTTTAGTTATATTTTGATTACTTTATACTAGTGTGCATATTACGGTAATTCTTTAAAGTGAAGAAAGAGAATCAGAAGAGGCAGTGTAAATTTTTTAAAAATTAAAAATGAGGTTTTAAAATGTTTCATTGTTTCATTTTCCACTTGTATTGCAGCCTACAGTCATGATTTAATTAAAATTAAACAGCATGGTAACAGAAAATTGCTAAACAATGGCAGGTATTATCACGTTACCCTCCTAACCTACAGTAACATAGTTTAAGCATTTAAGTTACTGATATCGCGTATTTGTGTTTTACTTTGCTCAGTGTATAAAATATTTAAACCAACGATTTAAAGAAGAATGTGTACAGTATTCTAAATGTACCGCTCCCAATGACTTTGATAAGAATGCGAAATATTGTTTCTTCAATTCTCCATTTATTAAGAAATTTAGAATTTGTGGCACAGGCCAAAAGAGTGGTTGCCTTGTATTCGAAGCTGAAGTTAATATACAGACTTTTAGGTCCGGTTATTTATACAGGGTTTTAACCCAAACCATGGTTTTACGCAATCAGTGGGCCTCACGCTCTCTCTCAAAGAGGATCGATTTAATTAAATAAATGTTCTTACATTTTTAGCTTTCGGCACTCTTAACATCGTTTACATAAAAAGATGTTCAGACAAAAGGTTGAGCTAAATTGAGGATTGTTTAGGACGCGGTTTTGTTAAAAAACGGCTAAACTTTGCTTAAATATTCGGCCCTCAAAGTAAGAAAACTTGTAACAGATCATCCTTGGTTGAGTTAATACATGACACGGTCATCAAAAATCTGGGTTCTCTATCTTTTTTATTCATTTTTAAGTTACTTACACTATAGGATTTTGCTCAGTTATTCGGGGTTCAGTCAGACCGAACTTATTTATCTGTAGAGATTTTAGTTACATCTTTTATTTACTTACATTGTGGAGTTTTGATCAGTTGTGTAGGGTTTACTTTCACACCCCCTGGTATGAATAAGAAAAGACAACTTTTCATTGCAGGTTTTCAGAGGAAACAGAGACAACAACACAGTTGCTATTAACAGCATTAAAAATCCAGTGGAGGCAAGATTTGTTCGGTTTATACCACAGTCCTGGAAAAACAGCATTGCCATGAGAGTTGAAGTATACGGAGAAGTTACAGGTACATTGATATGATAATTTTATTTTTATATATATATTTTTTTCAATGAGGTTGCGCGTATTATTTGTCAGAATCGGTTGGTCAGATGGGTTTATTCACAAAGAGGATATGTTCAGTTAGTAATAAGAACTGTCCCACGCTAACCCTGGCTCAATCATTTAATTGGTAACTTGCAATCACTTGTTTGAAGGATAGTTTTCAAATAAATTCAAGGAAAAGCGCTCGAGAAGGGCTTTTTTTTTATCTTATATTAAACTATCTAATAAATGAGTTCGGACTACTCGTAAGCGCCACGCGCTGAGCAGGATAGATAGTTGTAATGATAGCACCAAGAAGAGAAGCAGAGTCGCAAACGAAGCAAGAATTGTGTTACATAGAGATGCAAAAAGAGCGCTCATGCTGGTCATGCATGATTTGTTGTCACTCTTGGTGTGTCAGGAGCGGATAGCAAAGGAAACGAGTAGTTTGGCTCTGGCGAAGGTGGTTTGAAAACAAAAAGATTGTTTGTTGTGGAAGGATAAATTCCCAGAACAAACACGTTGCATTATTTTTGAATATTAAACAACCAAGCTCAGCAATTTCTTGACTGTGCTTTTGATAGGAAATATACCAACATTTCGTAAAATAGAAATCTAAATTTAAATTATTTTCGCTAATGGACTATTAATTGAAATTAATGCAGAAAGGAATTTGCTTGTCAAATTGCGGTGTCGCTGATTAGTCGAGAGGATTGCGTCTTTACAGTGATTGGCTAAAAGATAAGTGATTATTGTTTTGCCAGTCTAATAGAAAGGCGAGCACAACAATTGAACGAACAGATTAGAAGATCGTTATGAAGTCATTACATGCTTTACAATCGTTGGCACCTTCGTTTTCATTTTAGAGCCTGACTTGGCGAGAAACTCACCATCTCCGCTACTTGAAGAAGAGCAAGAAAAAGAGAGAGACTTCGTCCATGACGTTATTTTGGAGGAAGAAGAACAACCAGAACTTGAGGAATTTGTTTGTGGCACTGAAAACAAGGAAGTGGTGGTGGAAGAGGAAGCCTGGGAAGAGGAAACTGCGCATACTGTTGTCGAAACAGCTTCACAGATTCAAGGTAGAGGTAAGTTTCAAGTTTTTATTGACAACATGGGTTGACACGAGATTTAGGATCTTGATTGTGTAAGTGAAGGCTTTTCTATTTGCGTTTCATTTGTGCATTGCCTTGCTTAGAAAAACCTTAAATATTATTGCTTCCGGGATAATTATGCTGATACCTTCGATAAGTTGAAATCGAAAGGAACTGCAATTAAGTCACTAAATGTTTATAGTAGTTTTATTGTCACTCTGATTGGTTTGGTAATTTTTTTTTCGTTCTTTATCCTAATCTGAAATGAGCCAATTCACGACAAGTGCGTCTTGAAAATGAAGCCTGGATTATTTGACTTTCTAATTCTCAATATATGCCAGTGCTTTACATCCTTGGCCATCCCAGTCGCTCATTAGTTTTCTATTCATTTCGATGTTATTTTTAACTCATCAATCTCAGTAATCCGGCTCTTATAGTTTCCCACGCGCCTAATGTAACATTTCACAATGCGACAGAAATTGTTGTGTAAAAAAACCTTTTGATGATTGTGGATTAAAATGCAAACTGACTTCAGCTTTCCAGTGGAATTATCGGCGAAGGTATACCGCGAAACACACAAATTTCCCTTGCCTTAGACTAGAAAGGTGGCGGAATCAATCGTAAGATACTCTTTCGTTCGCAGTCACCCAATAGTGGCGTTATTGAACCCTATCGTAAGTTCCGTTTGGTCTGTATCTTTTTGAAACTTTAGTCCGACGAAGTACCAACAACATTTCGATTAAGGGTCGGTAACAATGATTGAAGCAGCCGATATGATGGAGAAAGAGTTTTTGAAGGAAGCTCCTGTCGATGTTAAGTTGTGACGCTTGAAAACATTTTAAAAGATTTGGTTAAATTTGCGGTTAAAATCGCAAATATAGCTTTGGTTTTAAAGTATGCTCTTTCTTCTCTGGTTCAGCGAGTAGGCAAGATGAACGAATCTTGTGTTGTGATTGGCTATCCGAACGGGCAAGACTGGTTTATCGACTCATAAATACTTGAATTTATCTTCCCCTCGCTTGACTCCCACAAACGCATATGTGTTTTCCTCTTGGCTATAAAAAGACCTAAAACTGTAGAAAAAATGGCAGCTTTCACGACATATTTGGCCAACGAAGAGCATATTTTCGATGTTGTACAATTAACATATCTTTTTCCTGTTTTCTATTGGTCTAGTGGCTGTAGTATCCCGGAGTTCATCGTTGGACCTTGCTGTGCAAGGTGAAAAGGTGCGTCCTCAACTAAATACAAGATTTGTTCACAACATGTAGAGTACGCGTTTGTGATTGGTTTACTTTTTTACAGTTTAGGTCTAGGTATGAGGTAAATTAAAAATTAATAGTTATCGGTGTTAGTGCAGGAAGGAGGTTGTATTAAGGGGGTGTTGTGGTGCAGGGTACCAGTTACCGTGTAAAAGGCAATAGGGAAAAGGAGGCGTAGCTTATTGGTCTGAACCTCAGAATCCGCGCATTGTATCTTTGTCTTCAGCCAGTTAAGGTAATCTGACAATTAGGCAGTTTCCGCGATTGTTGAATCACAACACGATTTTGTCAACAACTTTACTACTTCATTGTTTCAGCAATCGCCTAAAACCAAACAAAAATCCAAGAAGCCAAAACAGGAGAAACAGGAAGAAAACGAAGAAAAGAGGAAAAAGAAAAAGAAGAAAAAGACGAAGAAGATGGCGAAAGAAAGGAAAGTGAAAGGGCGTAGTGAATCTAGTCTTACTTTGTTGGAAGAAACCGAGGAGGAGGAAGAGGGAGCCTCGTCCCAAGAAGAGGAAGAAGAGGAAGAAGAACCTAAGAGAAACTCACCCATCATCCCTGAAATACCCAAGAGACCAGGTACAAGTCGATCTTTAACCGTCTGCGTTGCCAGCCATTTTTAACACACGTATGATTTTACAACGGATGTATTATTTGAGCAATTTAAGAAAGCATCCAGACTTAATTTGATGTATTCTATAAACCTTTAATAATTGATCGATTAAGTTAATCTTGATTTTAATATGCTATTCATGAGACCTTGAAGTTTCAAAAAAGCTAGAATTTCGTGGGGCTATGAAACTGGGTGTAACGGAAAAACCTTACTCCAAGGGGTATTTCAAGGTGCAAGATGAAAATTAAATTAAATTCAAGATGAAAGTTAAGCTGTTTAAGTTATCATTTTGAGTGGTATTTACGTAGTCGCATGTCATTTGTACCCTTCGGTTTGTTTTTCTCATTAAGCCTTAAATGATGTGTTCCGTAATTTTTATGAATTCAATTTTTCTCCATCTTTTACCCCTAGAGAGTGTTACCCAGATGCCGCCACCTCCTAAACGTAGCCTCAGCATGTTTCCAGTGAGGAAAGAGAGCTCTCAGGAGCCGGCTAAACCAGTCAGGCGACGTGCGCAGACAGATGACAGTATTCGCAACGAGCTGATGCGTCAACAGCTGGCGGAGGACAGGAGAAAGAAATTACTGGCAGCCACGGGAAAATCTAAGAGAGGGATTCAAGTGCAGAGCCCTGTCGTTGATAGTCACGGTGATTCTGCTCATTTAGGTGGGTAGATTACTTTCTTCTGGCAGATTGTAAATTAAAAAAACAAAATTCTTATTCAAGTGATAAACTATCTCTTGCCCCGCAAAACAGTGAGAAATACCTGTTAGCATGGTTCTAAATTGTGCGGATTTGATGCTAAAGTTTTCGAAGAAAAAAAAAAAAATCCGCAGAATAAACGCAAGAATTTAACATACTCAGTCAAAAGAAAACCACTGCATGCGAATGAAACCTTTATTATTCTTCTTCGTAGATGTGTCTCTCCTCACTTGAAATATCAATCTACATATCGTCTACCCAATAACTGCCCTCTATTTGGCTCGAAAAGTTAGTGGAGAATCTGGAAACACTAGATTTTATCTCTTTGTTACTCTTCTGTTGCTCAAACAGAAAATCGGAGAAATCAGTTCCGAGCAGAAATTTCAGTCATCTAAAGCCAAAGAAATTTGCACATGTCTCGGGGTAGTTTTCTAGAAGTGCTCGTGCTTTTGGTTCTGAAAGTGAATATTCTTTCGTTCTCTGAGGGATTCATAGAGGCTATAATGATTAGCGCCTAGATTCCGGATCGAAAGATTCCCTCTTTGATCCCTGACCCTTGACCAGATTGAGGACAGTCTTAGATTCTTGTTGCAGTGCCACGATGAAGAGCCTCTCTTCACCTAAACCAGGGGCGCAGCCAGGATTTTTCAAAAGGGGGAGGGGGGGGTCACAATGTGTCAAACAGAGGGTACTCACTGGATTGTCATCTTCACCTCCACGCTGTGTTATACTTAATGTGACAACAAAAGGCTGACAAAGAGGGGGTCACGGGCACCCCAGGACTCCCCCCCCCCCAGCCTTAGTTAACGTATGGGAAACCGTATAGAACATCAGGTTCAGGAGTTAGGGGGTTAAGGGGTAAGTTACTTGAAATGGATAAGAAACAATCCCTAAGCTTTCCTCAAGGGACTTGCCTTGAAGAAGTGTTGTTCATGTTATGTGAAATGAATGATTTAGAGGCACTTTCCTTTCTACTGAGATGAGTTAAAGCTCTACTTTATGTCCAGATACGTAGGGAAGCAGCCTTACTTTTTGAAGACCAGCTAACCTTATGTCTAATTTTGCTTGCAGACGACTTTCTTTCAAAGTACTGCATCATAAGTGAAGGACAAACTAATTACTACCGTCGTATTTTTAAAACCGTAAGTATGATGATTTGTCTCACACCTGCGGAGACATGTCTTGGATTGTTACATTCACAAAAGGCTGTAGTTCCTGGAACTTCAAGCTCTTGTAGCCTTGTTGATTTTAACACGAGATGTTTTCCTTTTATTTCTATAGTTTGATGAAGACAAGGATGGATTTCTATTTCCCGAAGATCTCCTTGAAGCCCTTGAAAGCGTCAATTCAAGCCTGCTGTCGGACTCTCATATAAATTATATTTACCGAGTAAGTTATCTTGTATCCAACGAAATATTTTTATATAATAAGCTCAGTTATGCACGCATTCTGATGGGTTCTCACTTATGATCTATTGGAGGACACACGCATAGATGACGTCATCATTAAAACTTTTTTCCGTATATTTTAATTCTTTATTATATAAAACAAATAGATTTCAAGTTGCCGTGCGTCTGTTCAGTAGTAGATCACAGAGGACGTCAAAATGTGGTAAGAACATCAGTGACACACTCGGCTGCGTCTCGTGTGCCACTTTTTTGTTCTTACCACGTTTTGACGTCATCTGTGATCTATTACTGAACAGACGCACGGCAACTTGGAATCTATTTGTTAAACAGAGGGGACCCCAAATTTGGTGGATACCCTGTGTTGAGCGGACGATAGCCACAGTCCTGTGGGTATTTGCACTGTAATGGTCTTGCTAGTTTCCTGATTCAAATGCTCTTCTAGCGTAACTGAGAATCATTCATTGGAATTGTCAAAGATAGAGTAAGCTATTTTTTCAGGTTAAACTAGACCTGATGCTGATTTTCCTTTCCTCTTCCATTCGAAACTGGTGTGGCCATGTTTATTTCGTTTGTCTAGGTACTGGAATTGTGTGATTGCAGCTTGGACTCTGGAGTGGATATGAAGTTGTTTTCCGTGATTGCTGCATTTTCTCAGCGCGTCGCAGTGTTGGAGTACGTAGCTTGAGATTATTTTCAAATTCTGTTTTTCTAAATCTTGTTCATTTTCATATCTTTACTGTATAGTAAATTGAATGTACTCACATGGTTTGCATTTATTCTGTCCCTTAGCGAATTTGCAAAAATATTGATTTCGAAGCTGGATTTCAGAGAATTGGATTTGAAATTGCAAAAATCAAAGGTATGACACAAATGATTCATGGAAGTTCGTAAAAGTTAAGGTACCTGAAAGTCAAGAATGCATTTCTGGTGGATGTTGTTTTGATTTTTTTTAGTTTTAGAATAGTTTACGTGTAACCGCACCCTACCCCCAAGGTGAAACGGAGGCGAGGGAACGCCTACGCAAACCTGACACTAATCGTGTTCCGTGACAGTACGGGTACGGCTACACGTAGGCCAGTATTAGAAACGAACGCGCATAACCCGTTGGCAAACTGGGAAATGCTGCCTTGTGTCGCAGTTAGATGAGAATGGTGTTTCCTGAGTCAATTGAGAGTAGTGGAATGAAAGGTGTGCTACCTCAGACATCCACAGTATTGACATTTTTTACTTTTCTATTTAGCGGTTGTTTCTGTGCTATGTTGACGAAGCGACTAAGACCATCTCGCTTGAGGAGCTTATGTTAGGACTAACGGCTGGTGGTCTGTCAGATGATCAAAAAGAACAGACAATGAAAATCCTCGGCCGGACGGCCTCTTTGGACTTCTTGGACTTTTTAACATACATTCCGTTATTTATACACATTCATGATCATATTCTACAAGATCCACTGGGAACCGTTGTCTACCAAAGTATGTTGACAGTTTAGAGATCGCATATGGTGCTCGTCCTTAATACCGTCAAGAGGTGACTTCCTTGGTTGTCCTCAACCAATCAGGAAACGCCACACAACACTTAGACGATGCTATTGCCACAAATCATTCTAAACTGCATCGCACGTTTTTTGACTTATTATCGGTAACACAGTCTTTCTGCTCTGGCTCGTGCTCTGATATCTTCTCAACGAGCGCAGTAGGAGAGTACCCATTATTCCTTGCGCACCTTTGTCACCCGCGTTGACTGCATTCGTTATGAACACGACAGGGGACGATCAAGCCTTGAACGTCTCCAACCGTCATCTGGTGGTTATTTAATTCTCGCAGATAGATTCGATGCATGACTTCCTCGATAGAAAAGAACCTATTGCTCAATGTAGCAGGGATACCTCGTTGTTCCTGAGGGATATGTTATTGTGGGTATTAGTTTGCTAGTTCATTTCGGGAAAATTAGTTAGTTTATTTTAGCAATGTTTTGGGACTTATTTTCCCAGCTATGTTTGAAAACGTTTACCGCTTAGCTCTGGTAAATACTTTTTTCGCACGAAAAGTTTAACTTTGAATCGAACAGGCGAATGAATATATGCCCTGTGAAGTTACTCAAATTTCGTATGTCAATGGAAATTGCGAGATTTCGTTGGGTGTAAATGCGTTGAGGTATAATTTATAATTATTTATTAGAAGAATTTCTCATTTTGAGATTTCCCTCTGAACAAAGTCTTTAGAAATAAAGGATAAACAAGTTTTCACTGTGCACATTTGCCAACTGTCTAAAGATAGTCAAAAAAATTATTTAAGAAGACACCTGATGTAGATATACCAAAGCAAAGCAAAGAAGTATTCTACTTGTTGAACATTGAAGTGTTGACTTTTTTTTGCATTTAGATAACTTTTAAGGGGACAAATTCCTATCCTGAATGTAAGAACAGCCATCGTCCTTCCCGTAGTCAGCCCTACCCCATTCCAAAGACTCCCAACACACCGGCCCCCCAAAAAACTGTGAGGAACCTTCTCGGTGATCACCTTACTATGATTTGGCTGAATGTGGCAATCACAACTCAATACTCTTGGAGTCCGTTGTCACCAAGTCGTGCCAAAAGTTAGCAATTATTCCCCTCCCCGTCAGTAAATAAAAGTTGTTATTCACTTCCGAACTAGAAATCAGCGCGCGCGAACAACACTCCTCAGTTGTGTAGTATATACTGACCTTGGTTATCATTGGAAGCTGTTATGGACCTTTGCCAGCTATTATTGATCACCTCATCCCAGGTCCGTTCGTTAGGGTGAAATTCTTGGGCCGAGGATATCGCGGACTTCAATGAATGTGTATGTGTCATCGTCATCGCGCAAGCTGGGAGGGGTTTGATGAAGTTATGAAAGAGGTAAAATTTAAGAGCCTGAAGGATTCCGAAGGTTTTACGAAGGGATTCTGGAAATGAAAACTTATTAACCCAATGAAGGACTTGCAAAACTTACGAAGAGTAGCAGACAAGGTCCCGAACAGTCGTGCAATTCGATTGGGGGATATCCATATGTTCGCCCTCCCTATGAGTCCCCCTATGTCAGTTTCAATACTTCCCACTAGTCTTTGCGGGTGAACATATTTTACTCGGCAGCCATGCCTGTTATCCAGTAGTCCACAGGTTTGTACCGACTTTGGAAATAACTTTACCCTAAAATATCACATCAGGAGAATGGTAGCCGTGTTTTCGTTTTCGTAATTTGGCCAGCTTTGTTCTCGTTGGTTACAGGCTATGCGGATTAAATTAGGAAGAAGTTATCCGCTATGTTTGTTTTCATACTGCAGGTGAGGTTCACTATCGTCCAAATCTTATTACCTCTGTAAACAAGGTCTTCAGAGCTATCTGTGCATGGTCTTCAGTTAGCATATTGTAAAATTGCAATGCAGGGTAGCATTTCCGTATGAACTCACTGTGTAGACAGCTTTTCGATTTAAGAAAACAATGGTGAAAACATGAGATAACCTTTGGGACCAATGCTTTGTACGGAAATCTAATGAGATAGTATCGAGTACAGTATGAAATAAGGTACTGAGCTGGATTGCAGAATTATTTGTGTTTGCATTTGAGTATACTGTTGATCAGTAATGAAGTCTGTATCTTACTTGTGAGTATTCTACTTGCGATTATTCCACGTAGGATGTCTGGCGAACAGAAGCCCCGTTCAAACGGTCTTGATAGTCGATAATGGTTTCAACTACCACAAACTATCATGCACTATCATCGATTATCTCAACTGTCATGTAGTTTCGGCATGTTCAAATTCGACTTGACAATATACAAATAGTTTTTGCCGTTTGAACGGGGAGATGATAGTAAACGATAGTTTTGCAATCAGCAGTTTCGCTAAAAACGGACTCAAGTCAAAATGGCTAATGGTAAAATGACTGTAGTGGCGATCAAAATTTCGTATGACGCCTTGTAGTTCATTTTTATTATCTGCTAGTAGTCTTCAGTATCTTCAACTTGCAACTTCCTGACTAAAATTTCACATGCCACCAAAATTGCTGACCTTGTGTCAGTGTGCATCATATTTGAATACAACTTTGAATCCTCAAAAACTTTTCAAGTAATAACCAAAAAAGAAGCAAATATTAATAACGATTTGCTCACATGCATAAACAGTATGTATCTATGATAGCATTGCTTTGTGTGCTAAATTTCATTTTTACAAACCACTGTTGGATTTCTTTTGGATTATGAACCTAACCAATGAAAATTGAATGGAAAACAATAGGTCATTTGAAATGTGAACAGAAACACTGGCATGATTTGTGCCAGACTTTTAGGTACTGAGCGATAACAACAGCTGTTTTCTACATTTAAATGAAAATGTTGACTGGTTGGATTATCAGTCTATCACTGTATCACTGCTTTTTTGGGGGTTTCTTAATTGTTACAGCACTTTGATTCAGAGGATATCTGAAACAAGGCTTGTTTCTGTTTTTCTGTAGTTGACCCAGAAGTGATTAACATGTTATTTCTCCCTGTAATATCCATACAGTACTGAACAAGTAGGTAATGAGAATACTCAAACTTATTAGGTAAAAGTTACCTTGATTTAATACCGAATTCTCCCAGCTACTTCACAAGGAAATGCATAGCAGCTAGAGGGGAGAATTAACCATCAGATCATGGGAGCTAAAGGTTTAAGAAATTTACTGCTATGAAGAAGAAAAGAAAACAGTCAAACTACATTATTTTGTAGTAGAAAATTAATTTGACCTAAATTCGTCTTAGACTGTAGCATAAAGATTTTTATTGAAATAATTATTCACCCAAGTGTTGCAATCGCTCTGACTAAGGGCTAAGGCTTGAAACGTCAGCTTTTTTACCCTTTACAGTGGCTAATTTACGTTTTCAACCCAGTTGTTAACACTAAATTACCTGTTGGTGAAAGAGACATGTTTAACTTGCCACCTTACTTGTCTCTGTAAATATCCTACACTATTCCCCTTCACTTTAGTTAATGAGTGTGTGATATTTGATGAGAGCACAAAGAAAGATCAAAACAATTTCTTTGAATAAATTTTTTTAACATCAAATTAAAAGCTGTCATGTCTGCTCTATAACAGATGCATGCCAGCATTTTAATCAGTTTTTTAGGTACAGTAACAAAGTAATGATAAGTGATGCTCTATTCAATTAACAAACCAACGAGTTCATGACTGAAAATTTCTACCTCAAAATTTTAAAGCTATTTTGAAGTGATTATTGTATAATAATCTTGTCTTTAAGATAATGAGTCAGCAGAGATGTCAAACACTGGATGAGTGGACCAAAGTTGTTGAAATGGTTCTATTTCACAGTACCTGTTTTGCTTCACAACTTATTACCAGTGAGTGAACCAGGTAAACAAAATTGATGTAGGCCAAGTTCTGGTCTACTTAACTCACTTCTTATTTGCAGTCTGTCTTGCTACTGTTTCTTTCTTTTTTGAATCTGAAAGATTTTTAGATTATGAATTATTTTTTCATTGCGAAAGACATGACATAATGCCTTTTCTTCAAAACTTGTAGTCTGAATTTTTCAGTGAAATATTTCTGGCATGAATGACTATCTTGCTGGGTGGTACCCTGATTAATCTGACTGCCAGTCTCTTACTGGCTGCTTGTCTCAGTCACTAACAGTTTATCTAACTGTATGTCTGACCAATTGAATAACAGCCATAAATTATTAGTTGGAACAACCAAGCTGACTGAGACATGCACACAGACATGCTGACTACTGCTGTAACTGACCATGTGAGTGTCATACTTAGTGACATATCAATTGACTCTAGCAGACTCACTTATTGACTGCCTATCTGCTGGTCTTATTATTCTATGACTCATCCATCATATGCTGGCCAGAATGACCAACTTGCTGACAGACATACTGCCTTAGTTTGCTTTTTTGATACCTAGTTTGTGGACATATACTCACTCACTGAGCAATTGACTAAGTTACTAATGTATTTTCAGACCCTGGCTGATCAGCAGAATGACTGTCTTAATAACAGACATGTTAACTCAGCCATTGACTGCTGGCTTAAATGACCAAATTGTTAACTGATACACTGACTGACAGACTATCAATGGATGACTCAAGTAAAGGATGACTTGTCCAAAAGAATCATTAACTGACTGACTGAGTGTTCTCCTGACTTATGAATAATTTTCTGTTAACTGCTAGATTGAATGATCAACTTTTTTAATGATATACTGATTTACTAACCATCTGACTTGGACTTAAGATGTACTTACTCACTGACTGGTTGACGGACTCATTGATTTCCAAACTGGCTGCCCGAGTTACCACTTATCCATTCGGTGCCAGCTTGAATGACAAAGTTCCTTACTGATATGGTGATTTATTGACTGTGTGACTGGCTAAATGACAGACTTATTTACTGACAGAATGACTGACTTGCTGATAGACAGACTCGTTGATTGAGTGACTTACTGTCTGCAAAACACTGAATTTTTAACTTGTGTATCAAATGCTGCCTTGAATGTCTAGCTTTCTTACTGAGCTAACCTGACAAAACGTCACCTCTTGACTTTCAGATTTACCTTCACGCTTGTTGTCTGACTCACTAACCTACCAATAGACCAATTAACTGACTGGTATATTTAGGTGTATTAACTTACTTATTAACTGCTGGCTAGAATAAGCAACTTGATGATGATACATTTTACCCTGTCTCATTGCCAAGTTTGTTAATTGATCAACTGGCTGACTGACTGAATTGATTTACTGACTTTATTGACCGACTTGATAGGCTGACTTGATGGACTTACTTGATGGACTGACTTGATTGGCTGACACTCTACTAACCTATCCATTGTCAAATTACTGACTGATTGTTCATTGAGGTGTTTTCACTCACTTATCAACTGCTGGCTGAAATAATCAACTTGTTGACTGATACATTTACATTGATGTAAAAAAGGATTGACTAAACAATTAGCTAACTGATTGACTTGTCAACCTGCTAATGAACATGTGGTTTCAATTATGACCAACTTGCTGACTGTCTCACTGACTTACTGATCTCTTAATTGTGAGATTCAGTGACTGACTATCTGTCTCACTAACTAATTAACTGGCTCGCTAACTGATGTATAATAAGCTGATTAACTTAAAAAAAACTGAGTCGCAGAAAACATTTATGAATCAACAGGCATACTCATCAATTTACTCATAAATTGACCAACTGACTGACTGACTTAAATGATGGCTTAAATGATCAACTTGCCACATAATACATTTACTCAAGCATTCAGACTTATAAAGGACCTCTGTACCA